AGCTGATTGCACTATCCCCAAAGGAGATGAAACATGCTGACATTCATTGAGCTTATGCATTAATACGAGACGCTTGGACTCCCCCCCTTTCCGTCAACGTGAACCCAACCCTATTCATCGTGCCCCTCCCCCCACCCCAGCAAAATAAAAACAAGAAACAACTAATCAAATCGGGCGAAAACCTCCTGCGCTTCCTGGAATTCCCTCACAATCGTGTCTCGCTTCTCCGGTGCCCGCAATCGGACCCCACACCCGTACTCCTTGGGGCAGTGCAGAAAACCCTGACTGGCCCCGGATTCCGGGTCGATGTCGCTGTAACTGCCCACCGGCTGCGTGAACTCAAACGCCCACAGTAACTTGGCCACGCCAATGATGAGATTGCGTTCCGCGAGATGGATTCCCGGGCAGATGCGGCGCCCAGCCCCGTAGCCATAATGATCGCGCTTGTCCCACTCGCCGGACGCCGCATACGTCGGTGCCAGGGCAGGGAACTGTTCGAATCGCGCGGGCTCGAACCGCTCCGGCTCCGGCCAGCGGCGGGGGTCGTGGTGCATCGCCCAGACGTTCAGCACCACGGTGGCCCCTTTGGGGAGGACCATGCCGTTGATCTCGTCGTCCTGCGCCACTGCGTGCGGCACCCCCAGTGGGCTGACTGGGCGCCAGCGGTGAGCCTCCTTGATGATGCAATTGATGTACGGCAATTGGGCGGCATCGGACCAGGCTGGCGAACGGTCCGCTCCGACCACGCGATCAATTTCCGCGTGGGCTCTAGAAGAAAAGAAACAAGGCAACCGGTTAGACCTCCGCAAAAGGAACATGAAACATGAAACATGCAAGGGGTGATGGCGGTGGAGGAGCGAGGGGTTCGTATCCAACATACCGGGCCTGCACGGCAGGAAACTTGGTCATCGCCTGGATGATGGTCAGAATCAGCGAGGAGGAGGTATCGGAACCCCCTTCCATGAGCACCCCGCCCAGAAACCGCAGCTGGCTCTCGGTCAGGGGCACCTTGTCCAACCGGTCCAGCACGCGGTCCATGAACGAATCTCGGTTGATGCCCCGGGCGCGGCGGTCGCGCACCTGGTCCAGCACCGTGGTGTACAGCGACTGCATCAGGTTCTCGACCTCGAGGGCACGGTGCCGCCAGTGGCCCGTCATCCACTGCGGGAGCACGCGCAGCAGCCAGAAGTCGTCAACGGGCGGGGTGGCGCCCAGCTCCTGGACCAGGGACCACTTCTCCATCAGGTAAAACAAGCGCTCCATGTATTCGTCATGGACGGTCTTGGAGCGGATGCCGAAGACGAGCGAGTTGGTGATGCTGTTGCTGTAGCGCTTGGGGTGCAGCATGTGGTCCTGCGGCGCGGTGAGGAAGTCGTACAGCATCTGCTTCGCCTCCGCCTCCTGTACCTTCCAGTGCTCCTTCTCGCAATTGGGCTCCATAAAGTACTGGTGCACCGTCTTGCGGAGCATGCGCCATGTGTCGCCGTACTGCATGACCAGGAGGTGGTCCGAGTGGGTGATCAGGTGCGACACCAGGGAGGCTGGCCGGTGCGAGTAGACATTGCTTTTCTTGTCGACAAGCTCCTTGATCAACCTGCGGTCACTGATAACAATGGTGGTGTTCTTGAATCGTTTCAAGGAGAAGATTCCACCGTATTCGTCGGCCCATTTCATGAATCTGTTGCAGTGTTAGGCAGGGCCAAGCGCATATGTCAAGAATGAACCGAGTGCATGAGCCTTACTGGAAATGCGCATCCGCCTTGGGAATTTGCAACTCGTTGCCAAAGAAGGGAACCGTTGGAGGACCTGCGATTGGATGAGTTTAGTTTTCACCGGGTTAAATTAGATTACTGGTTGTGCGCACCGGGAGGCAAAGAAGCATCACGGCGGCCAGATTTCAATGCAGCATAGATGAGAAATAGGACGCCTGCAACCGCCGCAGCGGACGCAGCGATGATGGCGAAAGGAGACACTATCAAGCTCATGGTGGGTGTGATTCTCCTCTGGCAGCCCAGCCAGAACGCCGAGTGTAGAAGAATATAAAGAAAAAGCGAAGTAAGCGAGGACTAGCTCTGCCTTGCACGACCCCTAATCCGGAAGGAGTTTCGGAGCTCAAGGTTGTCTGCCAGACGATATTGTTCCTCTCAGGCTCCAGGCTGGTGTTTTGGGATCCCGGATTTGCTTTGGTCGACCTGAGGAATTGTGCCCAAACGGGTAATGGCTGGAGGTCCGTTCTCGCCGCAATGCTTATCGGGTTGAGTCAGATACAGCGGCATTCATGGCTGTTCGTCCTCTCTTGACTTGGTTCGTTCTCTAATTTAGCCGTCAGTCAAGATTCTATTTTGGAATTTTCTGTTCTGTCATCGCAGCGGTGCCACGTGCTTACAGCTTAATCAACCAGGCCCGGGTTTCCGTGCTTAACGACACGCGCATTAATTGCATGGCGGATAAAAAACATGTTCTCACGCCTCACTCAATCCCAGCACATACTGGCTTAGATAGTCGCTTGACAGTCACAAGCTCACGAATCGCCTCACTTGTAGTCGATCCTTTTAGCTGAATATTTGTTTTTCTTTGGTATTTTATCTTGTGTGGTTTATGTTAACGTTATCTTGATTTTGCAAAGTGTTCAGCTCTCAGAATGATAAAACCGGGCTCCGCAGACATCAAAGGTAGCCAAAGATGTATTCTCTTCAAGGTACGGAACAATAGCAAATCAATTGTTTGAATCGATATGGAGGAAGAAGGTCTGTGTTGGAAAACAAAAAGAAGTTCAATTTAAAATAATCATAAGAATGCTTCACGTGATCCCAATGCTGAACTATCAACCACAAGAACGGATCCGCTCAATGAACCCCATTTGTGCCATTTACGCCATTGGCACCGTTGGCAGCCCGCTTCTTCAGCGCGACTACATCCTCCCACTCCGCCCCCGTCGTCGTGCCATTCGTGCCGTTCATAGCATGTCCATTGACCCCAGCGTGCCCATTGACCCCGTTTGTGTGCCCATTGACACCATTGGCATGCCCATTTACCCCATTTGGTGTAGCAAGAGCCGCACCATCCACAAACACACCCTTCTCATACTGCACAGGCGGTAAGGTCAGCGCCTTGGGCGACATATCCTGCACCCAGGGCTCGAACTCGGCGTTTTCGGGCCGGGAAGCCGCCTCCAGCGCGACCTGGGCGTCCCAGTTCTTCTCGGCCGCGTAGGCGTCGTGCACCAGATGCCGCTGGAAGAAGGAGCCCTTCATCTTGGCGACGGCGAAGTCCCAGTCGGTGGTGTACTCGCGGAAGAAGGGCTTGTAGCCGAGCAGGCCGCCGATCCAGCGGCCGACGACCACGCAGGTCCAGTAGCCAACCTGGCGGCGGAAGGGGACCCAGGCGGGGGCGGGGGTGTATGCGTCTCCGCCGTCTTGGATCTTCACCCGGGGGATCAGTGTGAGCCCTAAACTTAATCGATGAACGCCAACTCACAGCCAAAAACTGAATCCAGTCGAGCCCGCCATCATGCAGCAGGGCATCGTGCCAGTAGCCGTACCAGTTCTCGAAGAAGATGCGGTCCAGCTGGTAGTCCATGCCGGAGTCCGAGGCGCTGAGGTAGACGGTCATGCTCTCCTCCGAGTCTGGGTGGATGAAAAAGTTGTGCACGCTGCCCGCCTTCACGGAGACCTCCCCGTCCGCGGCGGTCACGCGCTTCACCTGGCCGTCGACGTTGATTCCCATCACCCCGGACTCGACGCGGAAGTACTCCGTCTGGAACTGGTGGAAGTGTGGCGGGGGACCCTTGGGCCGGTCGGGGCTGTTGATCAGCTTACGCAGGTTGTCGGGGATGGGGCCCTCCACGTTGTGGCGGTAGGTCTGGCGGAACAGGAAGCATCTTCCCGGTGGGGGCTCGAGGAATTCTGTGGTGAGAAGACCGCCGAATCTAGGTTATTGTTAGTTTTGATTATAAATCGAAGAGCCGAATTGTTTCGCTGTAGACATACTTGACAATTTTCGACTGACCGGCTGAATTGTGGTATGGGACAAAAGGCGCCATTGTAGATTAAGTTATTGTAGGGAATTTGTATCCTACCGACGACGGGAAAGAAAACAAGTTTGACTCTAAGGGATTGAGTTCGGATGAGTGGAAATTTAAACTTCAAAAGCCGTTATCGCAAACTCCATATATAAGGAATAAACCATGCCACAGCATATGCATCGAACAATCTATTCTTCAAAGGGTCCGTGTGTTTCGAATCCCTGTCGAATTTGCTGTTTTGGAAGGGGAGGTGGAACGACTCCTTTCGGAAATCGCCCACTCCGCTTAGGGCTTACTCTTGCATGCAGATCTGCAGCGTTTTCCCTCCGTGCTCGCAGCATGACAACAGGAGATTAATCACGCTTTTTCCTTTCCTTTCTGGAAGCTCGATCTGGAACATCCTGGTTCCGAATTCTGCATTACCGCATTTGTCCCTCCCGGATCCGTGCTCACACGTGTCTGTCGTTGGACTCGATTGAGATAGTCATTCTGATGCTCAGAGGAGATGCTGGATGCGAGGGGCCTGATCAGGCTTCGCTGATTGAGACGAGAAGATAGAGCAGAATCGAGAAAGGTCTTCGAGACAGAAGCGCTCGTTCAAGAACGCAGTATATAACAACCATCATCCATCATCCACGAATCTATCATCAGCACAACACAGCCCAGCCCAGTCCGCTACAGCAGGCAGAGACAAAGCCCACACTCTCGACTTCAGATTTCAATCCTCAATCCCTTTAAGTCCTCAAGCTTCCAATTCTCTAGACACTCTAGTCACATCATCCCCCCCACAATGCCTCACTTCTCCTCTGCCGCATCCAACTCGTCCACCGCGACACCTGATGCTCAATCTTCAGGATTGACCACGCCCGTCTCCGAGTATAACCAATTGGTAAACTCTCACTGTACGACTACAACATTCGAAAGATCAAAAAGCTAACCCACGCAGAACCCTGCCAAAGATGTCGCCGTCGTCGGCATGGCCTGTCGGGTTGCCGGCGGCAACAACAACCCCGAGCAGCTCTGGCAATCGCTCCTGCAGAAGAAAGATGCCTCGGGCGAGATCCCTGAAATGCGCTGGGAGCCCTACCTGCGGCGCGACTCGCGCAACGCCAAGATTCTCAAGGAGACCACCTCGCGCGGCTACTTCCTCGACCGGCTCGAGGACTTTGACGGCCAGTTCTTCGGCATCTCCCCCAAGGAGGCGGAGCAGATGGACCCCCAGCAGCGCCTGTCCCTCGAGGTCACCTGGGAGGCGCTGGAGAACGCGGGCATTACGGCCAAGTCGCTCTCCGGCAGTGACACCGCGGTCTTCTGGGGCGTCAACTCCGACGATTACTCCAAGCTGGTGCTGGAGGACCTGCCGAACGTGGAGGCGTGGATGGGTATTGGCACGGCGTACTGCGGCGTGCCCAACCGGATCTCCTACCATCTCAACTTGATGGGTCCCAGCACTGCGGTCGATGCGGCTTGTGCCTCTTCGCTCGTCGCTGTTCACCACGGTGTGCAAGCCATCATCCTGGGCGAGTCGAAGGTTGCCATCGTCGGAGGTGTCAATGCTCTGTGTGGGCCTGGATTGACTCGCGTGCTTGACAAGGCCGGCGCTGTCTCTTCTGAAGGGCGATGCTGCTCCTTTGACAACGATGTCAAGGGATACGGACGTGGCGAAGGTGCCGCGGCGATTGTCCTGAAGAATCTTTCGGCGGCCATCAAGGACGGCGACCACATCATGGCCGTCATTAAGGGTACCGCTGTGGCGCAAGACGGCAGGACCAACGGCATCATGGCCCCCAATGCAAAGGCCCAGCAGCTGGTCGCCCACAACGCTCTAAAAGTCGGCAACATTGACCCTCTGACCGTTGGCTACGTCGAAGCCCATGCCACGTCTACTCCCTTGGGCGATCCCACAGAGATCTCCGCCATTGCCGCGGTCTATGGCGCAGACCGAGAGCCGGAAGCCCCCTGCTTTATCGGCTCCATCAAGCCGAACATCGGTCACTTGGAGGCGGGCGCTGGCGCCATGGGCTTCATCAAGGCCGTCATGGCCGTGCAAAAGGGTGTCTTGGCCCCGCAAGCCAACCTCACGACGCTGACCAAGAAGATCGACTGGGACAATGTTGGGCTCAAGGTCGTTCAACAAGAGACCAAGTGGCCATCCACTGACGATGTTCGCCGGGCTGCTATCTGCTCCTATGGCTATGGCGGTACCGTTTCCCACGCCGTCATTGAGCAGTTTAACTTCCCCGAGACATTGGATCTTAAGCCCGGCGCGTCCGCTACCAATCCTACCGTGTTGCTTCTGTCCGGACCCCAGGAGAAGCGCCTGCCCATTCAAGCTCGTGCCCTCCGAAGTTGGCTGCAGGCGGATGGCTCTCAGCAGGATCTGCAACGGGTGGCCGCAACACTGGCTGTCCGCCGTGACCACCACGACTATCGCGCCGCCATCGTGGTCGAAAGCAAGGAAGACGCCATTCAGGCTCTGGGCCACCTGGCCGACGGAGCCAACGATGCCTGGACCTCGCAGAGCCGTGTCTTTGGCTCCGGCATTAACCGGGACGTGGTCTGGGTTTTCTCTGGTCATGGCGCTCAGTGGGCCGACATGGGAAAGGAGCTGTTGCAGAACCCTATCTTCTACCAGGCTGTGCAGCCTCTGGACGAGATCGTCGAGGCGGAGATCGGTCTCTCGCCCATTGCTCTCCTACGCAGCGGCGAGTTTGAAGCCTCCGACCACGTCCAGATCCTGACGTACATCATGCAGATTGGTATCTCGGCAGTGCTCCACAGCCACGGGGTTTACCCTCAGGCCATTATCGGCCACTCGGTTGGAGAGATCGCCGCCAGTGTCGTCGCTGGCGCCCTCACAGCTGAAGAAGGTGCTGTGCTCATTACGCGTCGCTCCGTGTTGTACCGCCAGGTCATGGGCCAGGGCGGCATGATTCTGGTCAACAAGCCCTATGCCGAGGTGGCCCAAGAATTGGCCGGTCGGGAGGACCTCGTCGTCGCGATTGACTCCTCGCCCTCGTCCTGTGTCGTGGCTGGGTCGACCGAAGCTGTCGCTGACCAGGCGGCCGAGTTCAAGGAGCGATCCATCAAGACCTTCACCGTCCGCACCGATATCGCCTTCCACAGCCCCATGCTCAACCAGCTGGTGGCCCCCTTAATGCAGTCCCTGGAGGGGAGTCTCGCTCCCACGGCCCCAACCCGCGCGAAGCTCTACTCAACCTCCCTTCGCGATCCCCGAGGCAGCGACTTGCGCGATGCCGCTTACTGGGCCAACAACATGGTCAACCCGGTTCACCTCACCTCGGCCGTACAGGCGGCGCTTGACGACTCCTACCGTGTCTTCCTGGAGGTGTCCTCCCACCCCCTGGTCTCGCACTCCATCAATGAGACCATCATGGATGCCGGCATTGAAGATTATTGCATGATCCCGACCCTGGCACGCAAGAAGCCCAGCGAGAAGAGCATCCTTCACGCGGTCAGCCAGCTGCACACTCGCGGTGCCAACGTCGACTGGAAGTCGCAGCTGTCCGGTCCCTGGGCAGGCGGACTGCCCAACACCAGCTGGATGCACAAGCCTACCTGGCGGCAGATCGGGGCTGGCCCCGTAAGTACTTCACAGACTCACGATGTCGAAAAGCACACGCTGCTAGGCCAGCGCATTGGAGTGGCTGGAACGCACACGGTGGTGTACACCACTCGCCTGGACAATGAGAGCAAGCCCTTTCCAGGCAGCCACCCTCTGCATGGCACTGAGATTGTGCCGGCCGCAGGGCTGGTCAACACCTTTGTCAAGGCCACCGGGGCCAATGTGCTGAACAATGTCGTCCTCCGTGTGCCTGTGGCCATCAACGCCCCGCGATCGGTGCAGATTGTCGCTCAGCGCGAAGACGTCAAGATCATGTCTCGGCTGATCCAGGAGAACGAGGGGAGCAACGATGACTCCTCGTGGGTCACGCACACCACTGCGCGATGGGAGTCGAGCTCCTCGTCTTCGGTCCCGGCTCCGATCGACGTGGAAGCGACCAAAGCCCGCATTGGGACACGTCTGCGCGATGACTTCTCAATCGACTATCTTGATAAGGTCGGCGTGTCCGCCATGGGCTTCCCCTGGGCTGTGACTGAGCATTACGGCAACACCCAGGAGATGATTGCCCGCGTTGACGCCGCTCCCTCTGTCGCGGCTGATGCTGAGCTCCCCTGGGATGCATCCTCCTGGGCCCCGATCCTGGACGCCGCCACCTCCGTCGGTTCGACTATCTTCTTCAACGAGCCCCGCCTGCGCATGCCAGCCCAGATCGAGCGGGTCGACATCTTCACCCGCGCCAACCCGCCCAAAGTCGGCTGGTTGTACGTGCAGGAGGCCTCTGACACCGCGCTGGCGTCGCATGTGAGCGTGTGCGATGAGGCCGGCAACGTCGTCGCCAAGTTCACCTCGATGCGCTTCTCGGAGATTGAGGGCACTCCCGGAGTCAGCGGGAGCATGGAGAGCCTCGTCCATCAGATGGCCTGGCCGCCTGCAGTGCCGGCCGAGGAGCCTCTGCCCATCAATCAGCTCCTCCTAATCTCCGAGGACGTCCCTCTCCGCGAGACCTACGCCGCCACCATCTCGCCTTCCATCCAAGTGATCCAGCTCGCAAACGCCAACGACCTGATCATCAACCGCGCCGAATCCCTGCTCACCAAAGAGACCGCTATCGTTTACATCCCGAGCCAGGTCTCCTCCCTGCAGGATGTCCCCAAGTCGGCCGAGACATTCACCTGGCAACTGCTCGAGCTCGTCAAGTTCGTGGTCAACAACGCGCTGCCCGTCAAGATCTTCGTCGTCACCGCCAACACCGGCGAGGGCGAGACCCCTACCGCGCTGGCGCACGCACCGCTCGTCGGCCTCAGCCGAGTCATTGCCAGCGAGCATCCCGATCAATTCGGCGGGTTGATCGACACCGAAGTGGCCACCTTCCCCCTGACAACGATGCGCTACATCCAGGGCGCCGACATCATCCGCATCCGCGATGGCGTGGCCCGGACGATGCGCCTCCGCTCACTGCCCCGCCACCGGCTCATCCAGCAGCAGGACGGGCAGCAGCAGCAGCAGCAGCAGCAACAGCAACCGCAGCTCCTCCCGCGGCCCGACGGCACCTACCTCATCACCGGCGGCCTGGGCGCCCTGGGGCTGGAAGTCGCCGACTTCCTGGTGACGCAGGGCGCGCGCCGCGTGATCCTCATCTCGCGCCGGGGCCTCCCGCCTCGCCGCCTGTGGTCGAAGATGGAGCCCTCCTCCCCTCTAGCCCCGACCATCACCAAGATCCTCGACCTCGAGGTCCGGGGCGCCACCATCCACGTACTGCCCCTGGACATCAGCCAGCCCACCGCAGCGGACGCCCTGACCACCGCCCTCGACACCCTCTCCCTCCCGCCCGTCCGGGGCGTCGTCCACGCCGCCGGGGTGCTGGACAACGAACTGGTCCTCGACACGACACCGGACGCGTTCGCGCGGGTCCTGGCCCCCAAGATCACCGGCGGCCTGGTCCTGAACGAAGTCTTCCCACCGCAGAGCGTGGACTTCTTCATCCTCTTCTCCTCGTGCGGACAGCTAGTGGGCTTCACGGGCCAAAGCTCCTACGGCGCCGGCAACAGCTTCCTGGACACACTGGCATCGCACCGACAGGCGCAGGGGGACCGGGGGGCGCGCGCGTTCCAATGGACCGCATGGCGGGGGCTAGGGATGGGGGCCAGCACGGACTTCATCAACGCGGAGCTGGCCAGCAAGGGGATCACGGACGTGACGGCGGACGAGGCGTTCGGGGCGTGGCGCCACGCGGCGCGCTACGAGGGGATCGACCACGCGGTGGTGCTGCGCGCCCTGCCCCTCGACGCCGACGAGCCCCTGCCCTCCCCTGCCCTGGCCGACATCCTCGTCCGTCGCTCCGCCTCTGCCTCCGCCGACTCCTCGTCGCCGTCATCATCACCCGAGAAGCAGACAATCCCCACCTCCGGCCCCGAGCTCAAGACCTACCTCGACAAGGCGATCCGCGGCTGCGTCGCCGCCGTGCTGCACCTCCCCGCCGCCGACGAGGTGGACAGCAAGGCCGCCCTGGCCGACCTGGGCGTCGACTCCGTCATGACCGTCACCCTGCGGCAGAAGCTGCAGCAGGCCCTGCGGGTCAAGGTGCCCCCGACGCTGACCTGGAGCCATCCGACCGTCGGGCACTTGGTGGGCTGGTTCGCCGAGAAGGTGGGCAAGGAGTAGGTAAGCTAGAGGGGTTCGCTCTCTCCTCGCCTGGTTTCCGTGGTTATCGTACGCTTGACGAGATGAGTCTCTAGAGTCCTTCCCGTTGTCATCTTAGATTATACTTGCTTTTTGTGTTCTTGTCTCTATACGTGTTGCTGTTTGTGTGAGAGCTTGTTCTGCCTTGCCGTTGATGCCTCCAAGTGTATATTCTGTCGACCTTTCGGTTATCCTTTTTCTTGTGGATGATTGTGGCGCGACTTGTGATTTATCTCCTCTTCATCTTCCCTCCTCCGTCTCCTCTGTCGACACCGACGTCTCCTGTATCTAAATTTTCCCGCTAATCAGATCTCTAACCCAATTTCTTTCCGCGTAGGAATTGTAGAGTTAGCGTATGGAGGTCGTCCCGTCGGTCGTCTAAGTTGTCTATTCAGCAAGGCATTTGTATCGTGGAAAGGTTCAAGAAAGGTTAAGCTGCATAAATACCTCGATGGTGCCATCATCCATCAAGCCCGTCTAATGATTTCGGGGTCACTATCAAGTGAGGCTGGGAAAGGGGTAGTTCTCAAATCTAATCCACCACGTCGTGCAGACAAAGAAGTCACAACGACGACAAGGGAATCCCAGGGATTCTTCTTCTATATCACCCGTCCCAAGCGTCGCTACACCAACGGTAGCACGGTGGTCAATTTGCCCGAGACCAGGAGCTGTCTTCACACGATAGATTCTGCCCACGATCCCATTGATAAATCGAAAATCATGGATGAATATTTGGTAAGCAGACACGCAGAAGGAACTGATGCGACTTCCAGCAGGGTAGAAGCACAGAGGCCTCCGCCACCGAACCCACGCCGCAAGTATGACATTACGATAATCACTCCTGAGGTAGTTTGAGGATATTGTGAAATGTTCCCCGACTAAAAGAGAAGCCTTAAAGTTTATCAATCAGTCCACGAGCGACATGTAGACTAAGAAGTTCATTATCATCTCAGAATGGTAGATTATATGTTCAGAACCACTCAAACTGCAAACAAATACTAAACGACCAACACAAACATTCCCCCAATAACGCTTTCAAATCACAACTGCAGCAAGGGAATCTAAAACAGTGCGCGAGAATCATCATTCATGTAACCCAGCACAACAACCACAGACAAATCATCAGGTCTATTTTCAAAGACACAACCACAAGATTCTACATGAAATAACAAGACACGAGTCCGTAGACCTGTCATCGAGACAACCCCCAAGATGAATCAAAATCAAGCCTGCTGCGACCCATCAAATCCGACCCAAGAGTCCACGGCAATGGCCCCGTTCGACAACCAGGGCGCACCGCCCCCGGTCCCCATGAGGAAATCGCTCGAGAGCCCTGAGAACGCGGGGTCGTCCATCAGCTCCAGAGGTGGGGTGATGGTGGCGGGATCGCCGAAGTCGGCGGGGCCGAAGATCATCCCCGCGGGCAGTTTGGGCAGTGGAGTCAAGAAGCCGGAGAAGGGATCGGTGGTGGGCGAGACCACCGACCCCGACCGTGAGTGGCCCAGACCCGCCGCGGGAGGTGCCACCGAGGTCGGCGGCGCAACCACCGAGTCGGCCGAGCTCTGGCTGGGAGGCGTGAGCTGCGACCATCCGCGGGGAGTGGAGCTCGTCCTGAATTGTTCCCAAGCGGCTTGCACCGTGTTGGCGACCGGGCCAAAGGATTGTCCCAGCTTCTCCAGGGTGCGCAGCGCCGTCGGCAGGATCTTGCGTGCCGCCGGCGTCGGCGGACACACCGGGTTGGCCAACACAAACGAAAGAATGCAGATAGTCGCGTCCCACTGATACTGGAAGGCCGCGGTCCATCCACACAACAGGTCGGTCTCGGAAAGAACTTGGTTGAGAATCAGCGTCACCACGACCGCGTGATTCAGCGCTGCGATGCTGTGACTATCTGACAGCGGGGTGAGGGAGGCGCCCCGGGGCGGAAAGCGAATGAAGGGACGAAAATTAGCCATCTGGAGGTGATGATACATTACTTCCAGAAGCAGCCGCTGACGCTGCAGCCAGAGCGGGCTAGCCGGGTTCAGATTTAGCGGCGTACGGTCGGTGCAGAATGCTTCTCCCGAGCCCTTGCGTGGGTTCTTGAGAGATCGTGGCACATTCTGTCCCCACTCATACATCACCCGAATTTTGTCACCCAGAAAGCCGGCGAGCGACTCCATGGTGGCTGGATCTTCGTGGATATCTTGGATCTTCTTGGCCTGCAGCAATTCAGTACAGCGCGCGCTGAACGCAGTGTAGATTCTGCGCGCCGCGGCTGTCAGCCGGATGTACTGCACATGGAAGCTTAGCCAGCTAATGTCTTCGTCCGGAGGCGATACCAACACCGTGGCCGATAGCTGTACCGCGTCACTTGAATCCTGCGGCATCGCGCAGCCCACCTCAGCGGGGTCAATGAAGGGTCGTCGACCCAGCGTCATCGAAATTTGGCTATCGAGCTGGTACACCGTCCACCAGATCCGGGAGTGCAGCTCTTGCGAGGCCTGGGGGGTTGATTCCAGGGGTCGGATATTGATGCGCAAGATATGCGCCGCTCTGATCGCCAGACCGAGCAGAGCATGGGCGGTGTCCAGGTTCGCGGTGTTGTAGAGATAGATGATGCAGTAGATGTGGCTCTGCAACGATCGGATGGACGGATGCTCGAGGTTTTCCATCAATACGCGTTGACTCCGACGGTAAAAGGCATGCGCAGCAGTGGTGAAGTGACTGGTCTGCGACGCTGTCTCCCCGTCCGCCATCACCTCATCATCGGCCAAGAAAGTGCTGCCATATTGCATGCACACAGCCAACAAGCTATCCACAAGCGCAGAGGGCTGTCGGGGGCTTTGACCATTGCTTCCGGCCCAGAGGGAGTCATAATATTGTCGGAACTCCTCCTCTGCCACGATGGGATACATCCAGTGGTAGGCCTGCCAGAGCAGAACCAGGAAATGCTCTTCTTGCTCGCGAGACAGGTCCTCAACCTCTGCCAGTCCCAGACGAAGGCTCGGTCGCTCGGTGTCGTCCGACAGTTGCTCCAGTGACACTGTCGGGGAATGGCGATGGATCTGAGAAAGTCGGACGGGGAGCGGCGACTTGAGGTGGAGCTGGTTGGCTGACTCGGACATGAACCGATTCAGGCGCAAGACCAGGTAAGGCGCGGAGAGCGGCCCGTAGTGAATCACGCCACCAGTCTGGGACCCTGGACTATAGACACCGTCCCACGTTTGACGATGTGAAGTCGGAAGCTCCGCGGGGGTGGAGTGACCCGAGGTAGCACAATTCGAGGCAGTGGGGGACTGGCGACGGAGAGTTTTAGCTTCGTGGGTAGCCTTTTCTAGTTGCTCTTGTAGATCTTTGAGCCGGTTGCGTAATCGATGAATCTCCCTTTGTCAGGAAATTTGCCATCAGTATCATAAGTAATGGTGCCAAGCTAGAACTCCAGAAACGTATGGTAAGGGTGGGTCTTACCGGTTCGCGGCAGGCAGGGAATGAGCTTCGAACTGCTTGGTGTTACTGCAGTAGCCTCCATGGTTGCGGCAGTTCTGGCAGGGTTGTTTATCGTCGCATTTGATGCGGTTGACGCGACACCAGTCACAGGCACGCACGACCTGGTTCCGTTTGGGACGGGGAGCGGCGGCGGGCTGTTGCTCCGCGGGGCGATCGGTGGAGTTGAGGTTGGCGGAGAAGGTGGAGAACATGGCTTTTAGAGATAGGAGGAGATGTGAATATCAAAGATTGCGAAACCATTCGAGGGTTTTCCAGCCCCAGAATCGGACGAGAGATCAAATTCAAAGCCAGGGAGGGAAAGGAGAGGTAGAGGGGTTGGAGCTGAGAGAGAGAGAGAGAGAGAAAAGAGAGAGAAAGTGACAGGAGAAGGCAGAAAGCGTAAGCAGAAGTCATGTGATGTCACCATCCGATTCCGTACCTTATCGTCGCTGCCCACCTAGTAGTTAGTAAGTTACCCAGCACTAACTAGAGTGATAAATAAAAGTACCTTACTGAGACAAGTAACCTCAACTAACTAGTCACTGCTAACTTTAGTGAGTTCCAAGGCAACTGTTCTCGAGAATCTACCCGAAATTTATATTACAATTCAACCCACCCCCACCAGATCAAGCCGGCAAACACCGCTTGGCAGGCCAGGCTTGACTGAACAAGCCTGCTCTACGATCAGCTTCCAAGCCTCACCCATGCATTCTCGCTTATCCCCTCCTATTGAGACTGGACGACATGCTCCTTGCGGTAAGAAACCATTCCTTCTGCCTGTCGATTCGGCTTAGTTTCGGCTTACACTTGCTATCGCGCCGAGGGTTTGCCTGCCTGAGTAAGATGGAGCCGCATAGAGTTTGAGACAATTTGGCAGCATGGATGCTTATCCCAGCTCGCACGGATGCCCTCGGGTCCCTCTGGCTATCTTTACTTCTCTCTCAACCATCAGCCATGAAGAAACATGAGAGATAGCCAAGCGACCAGCCAGGGAGCCGAAGTCAACCACTCAGGGACCAGGCTGAGGCGGCAGATCCCGACCTCCTATCGCAATCCCCGAGCATGGATGGCGCCTGAAGGTATAGTGCTGTACCTACTAGGTTAGCACTCGTACTCGTAAGGACACCTTGTTGGACTAATTATCCGTACACGTAAGTAGCCAATCCTTTGGAAAACCATATGCACGCCTTATGAGGGATCCTTATGCCCGGAGGGTCGTACACAAAGTCACCAACACGGATGCTGAGACAAAGCTTGGCGTTTCTGGGCGCGCGTGTGCGCCTCGTACCGTACCGGAGCCAAGTAAGTGCAAATCGATCTCCCACCCTTCGAGATTGAGATTGTCGCCGCCCCGTTCATTTCATGATGCTTCTGTTCAACCCAGTTCTCTCCTCGCAATAAGCCAAGACATGGTATCACCAAGGTACTGTCATAATGAGGCCCTGAAAGTATGCAGGATGGGGGCAGGGGGACAGACAGAAAGGGTTCAGGATGATCCCGGAAGGGTAATTGGCATGCCATCTCCGATTCCGTGAATCAGGCCGACGACGACGACCCCTCACCTCACAGGATTCCACCCCATGACAGACAAAACAAGCAGACACAACGTGCCTTGCTGCTGCTGCTCTTCCAACAACACATGGCAGATGGCACTGATTCCTTCCATTCCTTAGTGTCGGCGGTTGTGAAACCGATCGGCCGACTTTTTTTTTTTTTCGGTTCTTGTTTTTTGTTTCATTTTCTGTTTCTTCTTGTTTTCTGTCTCCTTCTGTTATCTTTGTGGTAGATTTGGAAAGAATAGTTGAGCCGCAGGAGAGAGGAGGGGAAGCTGTATAATTGCATAAAATATATTGCACTCTCAAGACTTCAAGAGTGGTGAATGGTGCGATAGATGAAGTCGGAGTCCTGGGTCCTCCTTCCATTTGCTTAGACCAATGCGGCTGTGAACGCAAGGCCAATCTTCAGGCAGCGATACAGAGCGTGATGGTGGGTGAGATTTGATTTTGTCTGCTGGCTGAGTTGGAGGGGTTCCGGATACGGGTGGTGAGGAAGTTCCGTACGGAGCAGATCTTCTACCCCAAACCGTTAGACCACAAGCAGTAGAAAGAAGACTAGCCTGACACAGCCAATTATGCAAGGGATGAAGGGTCCAGCAGGGTCCTGAGCCCCTACCGGCACTTCCATTCTATATCTCCATCTTCTGGAGACGGAGGGGAAGAGTCTCGCGTGGCTTGACTTGGATAGGAAGGAGGGGACACCTTGGGACACCTTGGGGATATCCACCTTGTGTTATTTTGTCGCTAATACGGAAACATTACTCCGTTCATACCGGGTGTCATGCAGGAGCAAGCAAGCTATCTCCAGACTAGAGACCAAAAGCGTTAGCACGGGAAACAGAGGATGACTTGGCAGCGTCTACCGGGGAGAAAAAAAAAAGAGAGTGCGACTTACCTAGCGTAGGATCGCTCACAGATCGAGATCCTCTCCGTGAGGAATTGTTTTTCCCTCCCCGGTGTCGGCCCCTTCCCCTCTTCCACCCCCCCCCCCCATCTCCCGCTCCCCCGAAAGTGAAAATCACTTTAAGCTATACTGAGAGATAGAGAGATGCAGGCTACACGACATATCGAGCTGTCACCAAGTTGGACTTTTGATTCTTTGGGCTGGAACTGCCGGGGCGGGCCGGTAGATCTTTGTACCGATACATACAAGCACACAAGCTGGCTTTACAATTACTAATGCCAAGCGACAAACAAACAATCCCTGGTGATACTCTCCCATCCCTGACTCAAAATGAACCATAAGATGACAATTAGGAGCGCCTGAATTTGAGAAAATAAGGCCCAATGGGAAAGAAAAAGACCAAGAAATCGGCAATGCATACTCTAAGCCACATATTATCTTCCTCCTCTCAACGGCGCCGACGCACACGCGTCAGATAGGTGATCACCATTACCATGGTGAAATTAAAGGCAATAAAGCCGATGAAAACACCCACATTCCGGCCCCGGTGGCTATAACTGTAGTCATATTGCGTGTACTATAAGAAGAATCTGTTCGTCAGCCAATCAATTCCTCTCCGATCCCGACTCCACCCCATGTGGGTAGCTTGCTTCATGCAGGGCGGGGGCAGGTGGAACTCACGTAAGCTTGGCCGTTTTTGTAGGGACAGTATTCGCAGTTGGCCGTACTGTTTGGGTTGACGAGAAAGCCCGTGGCATCTTGCAAGAAGGCAGCAGCATATTCGTAGCAGCTCTTGCCGGTTGGTGGCTGGAACACGGACATCTCCGACTTCGCGCAGTGGAGGGGTAGATCGTGCAGAACATCCACTACCACGCCTTCGTTCATGTAGAACAGGGGAGAAACCTTGTAGTACCAACGCCAGCCAGCGGGTGTGACTGGTGCCGGTGACAGGGTACCCGCGAAGGTGTTACAGAACATGAAGAAAAACCCATTCGCCGAAAGTGCAGCTTCTACGGTCGGCATCAGCGAGGCGCACAGTTGGGCCAGACTGGTTGCGAACACAGAGAAAAGCTGGTACATCAAGAAGCTGTAGCCGGCGTGGTTGGAGTCGCGGAAGTATCCCACGGGGAAATACCACAATAGCCAGTACACGAGGGAGGTGCAGAAGGCGTACGGCAGTTCAACCAGAATGGCCGAAAGGCTGAACGCCATCCAGTGGTAGGTCAGACTCTCACGTTCACGGTGCTCGAAGATGTTCCGCAATGTGACGAACCGCGGCTGCACCTGCAGACCCAAGGGAGGGCCGACAATCAAGGACATGAACGAGGAGAAGACGCGGTTGTAAGCGCCCCGTTGAGTCAGTGGCGAGTTGAGGTAGGTCATTCCGTTGAGCAACGCATTACCCGCATTCAACCACAATTTAGCCTGAGCATAATCTGGCGCCCGCCAGTAGTACAGCCATGTTCGCTTGAGCAAGACGACCATCTGGTAATAGAAGGGCGCGGCGTGCAAGGACATGGACGAATCACTCTTCGGCGAGGCAGGTGCAACCTGGATGCTGGAGGGTTGGCTATGGCCTTGCTTCCATATCTCTGCCCAATCGGTCTGAACATCCCGTCGTGTGCCGGCGCCGATCACCTCGAGGAAGTATTCGGCGGGGTTCTCTCGCTCACGGCACGGGCGAGCATGTTGCGCAAAGTAAGCGAGAGCCTGCTGGCATTCCATACCCAACGGCCCATCGTACACAACCTGTCCACCACGTGCCAACAGGTAGAGCTCGTCAAACGTTGAGATCAATTCCGCGGCGGGCTGATGAATTGTGCAGATGATTGCCTGGCCAGAGTCCGCGAGTCTTCGCAAAAGGCGGACAATGGAGTAAGCTGACTGCCCATCAAGGCCAGAAGTGGGCTCGTCCAAGAATAGAATGTCCGGCTTCGCAGCCATTTCCACACCGATACTGACCCTCTTGCGCTGTTCCAGATTGAGACCGGCTCCCGGCGTTCCGACCAGAGCATCCGCAATCGATTCCATGTCTAGCGAGCGAATGACCTCTTCAACGTAGGCGTCCTTCTCTTCGAGGGAAACGTCTTGCGATCGGCGAAGGCGGGCCGTCATTTGCAATGCTTCTCGTACACTTTGCGTAGGCAAGTGAATATCCTGCTGTTGTACATAGCCCATGTGGCGGTTGAAAGACTTGGGAAGCAGTTGTCCGTTCAGCGCCAGTGTTCCAGTAAGGGCTCCCACTTTTGAGCGGCCCGCCAGCGCGTTCAGCAGAGTAGTCTTGCCCGCTCCGGATACGCCCATCAATGCTTTCAGCTGACCACTATACACTGATCCGTTTAGATTGTCGAGCAGGCGTTTCTGGCCATCCTTGGTTTTCACATCGAGCTTTAGCCCAGTCCAGGTCAGGCTGCGAGGCTGGTACTCCAGCGTTGCGCTTCGCTCACGTGTGGTTTCTTTGCCTGGCTCTGGCGGAACATCGAGATCCAGATCTCCGCTTTCTTGATCACTCATCTTCGCGCCAGGTTGTGGAGCAGACGACTTCTTAGTTCCCATACCACGATAGAACACAGTCGCTAAGCGGCCAGCTGGTTGCTTTAGACGCTCCATACCAATGCTGTGAGCCTTTCGTCAGCATGTTTCTGCATAGATGGGCGAAAAAAGGTTAACGGCAGGGATGGGAGACCTACGCTGAGGCCAGACCAAAGGCAATGAAGAAAGCTGCGTTGATTCCCAGGTTGCGCCACAGGTTACTTCTTTCGAAACCGTACTGTGCCTTGATATATGCCATTCCTGAAAGCATTCGTTGACCTGGCTCCGATCCCACCACTGCACAGACCTGGTTGGCAATGCTGGTATACCCAGGTCCCGACGGAACAAGGTCTGCAGTGCTACACTCGTAGCTCAGGTTGCCAAATTCGTTGATCATGACCGATTCGAAACCATAATGCAGGGGCTGTTTGTTGGGTTAGCGTGCGACTTTCATATTTTATGGGGCGAACTCACATTCAGATATCTCAGCCAGCCGAGCCATACTTGCATCTGCGGTGGCGGCACATAGAGACCTGTGTACAAAACGTACATATTGAAGAAGATACCGACCGGAAGAACAGCGCGGTACATGTTGGAAGAATACACAGCGACCGAGCGGAAAAACATGGACAAGGCCAAGTGTTCGATGTATACCACGATGAACCAGGTAAAGAACTTGCCGGCGTTCATTTGGAAACCAGTAAGGAAGTACAGGGGAATATTCCAAAAGATGACGAAGATCTTCCAGACAATATCCGTCATGATCAATCCAAAGCCGTAAGCCATGGGACGGTACAGCCGGTATCGTTTGTGCTTCAAAATCAGCGGTCGTTGGGCGAATGTACTGCGGAACTCCGCCATGGCCTGCAGTGCGGGAACGAGAACGGAGTAGAAGAGGGCGGACGCGAAGATGAAGAAGGACCCTGTGCTCCGTTGCTGGTTTCGAAACAGTGTTCCCAGAATCAGGCTTTGGACAACGATGCACAGGGCTTCTACAACCAGTGAGTTATAGTTGTGCTGAATGATGCGAACCTGGCGCGTGGTACAGTACGCAATTTGCTGGTAAAGTGGCAAAGCGTATTGAGCCGATTTCGAAGGGCGGGCCACTGCAGGAAGGGACTTCGCAGCCCGGACGGCCGACTTAAGCTCGTCAAAGTGAACACTGCGTCGAAACTCTTGCTGGAACTCGTCGGGTGTGCGGGGGATCTGGTTCTGATGAGCTTCGTGTACACGACGGACCTCCGGACTGGCGGACATCGAGTTCAAAAAGTCGGTGGTGGTGGTAGCAGACGAGCATTCGAAGCCCAGACTCAGGAAGTACGATTTGGCGTCTTGGATGGAGCCATAGAAGATCTGACGTCCGGCATTGATCACAACAACCTTGTCGAAGTATGGAACAATAGCATCACTGCCTTGGTACACGCTCATAGCCGTCACGCACTGACTCTGGTGGGTCCATTCCCGCATCATCTCTATGAACTCAAGCGCTGTTGAGGAGTCCAAGCCGTTGGTCGGGTTGTCCAAGCAAATCAGCCTATACAAAAGATCCATGGTTAGAGCTTCTCGTCTCCAGGGAGTAGTTGAAAACTGACCTTGCACATGTGGCGAGCGCCTCAGCCAACGAGACACGGCGTCTCTCACCTCCACTAACACCTCTGATATAAGCGTCTCCAACCTTTGTGTTGAGAACATGACCGAGTCCAATCAATTGCGCCAACTGCTTTACTCTCTCGTCAATCTCTGAAGAAGAGGGCTTGGGGCCACAGCGCGCCCTCATTGCAAAACGCAACGTTTCGAAGACGGTCAGCGTCGGGAAGTGGTCATCAGACTCGCCTACGGCTCGTTAGTTAGCTGGGTTTCCGACCATCACAGATCTAAGGACGAATGAAGACTTACCACAGAACACAACATTCTGCGGATCCTTATCGATGACATCTTCCATGGGCTGACCTCCGAAGGTCAAGGTTCCCTGGACGTCCTTGTACTCATTCCACATGCCAGCCAGGGTCTTCAAGAACGTGGTACAACCACTGCCCGGCTTTCCAATGACCAAGACCATCTCGCCCGGCTGGATGGCAGCGGAGAAATCACGAAGAATGGGCCGTGATGACGGACGATGCAGGCGACTTTGGATGGGCTCCAACAGGCCAAAGCCACCTTTTGCCGCTGTGAGGACGCTTGGAGCCGGCAGAGCCTGCCGTGAAACTGTGTCAGTGCTTCCCCCGAAGAGACATTGATGAAGAATAGCTAATCACTTACCCCGGTACCGCTCCCTTCGACTGTCACGTTCTCCATGACGATTCTAGCCGAGTGCAGTGCGTTCCCGTCGACATTGCGCAGGGAAAGAAACCGCTTCACGCTCAGGGCAATGGGTTCAACGGCCACACTGTTGGATGATTCCGACAAGGGGTCATCATGCAGAGCAATCTGTTCCTTGTCCGGCAGAGACTCTGCGTTGACCGGCGTCATCACGCCACTCCCGCTGGAGTCCTGCTGCAAGGTATCTGTTGCTTGATACTTCTCCATTGGTGCTGTGGATATTGCAATCTCGCCGTCCAATGCACCAGGAGGGTTCCAAGAAAGCTTGGCTGAGACAGAAGTACCAGAGCCGCCATGGTGAGAAAGCGTGCCGATGAACTTATATCTCTGGATGATAGTAGAGGAAGCGTTGCAACCAGCTCAGTTGACGACATACTCCGTAGAATGAATGCTGGATTGGGAAGCGGGAAGACTCCATCATGGACTTCCTAAAGGAGTTTCGGAAGGGTGGCCTGATTGGGGTTAGTGGGCAGGTCCCCGGTGGTTAGTCAGCAAAGCTTGAGTGAGGGCCCACTTGGCCCGATTCGGCTGTCCCTAAGGAGAAAACAGCTTATTTACTCCGGGAGGGAAGACTCGCTTCTCCAGACATTCCATTGAGATGCTCCGGTCTCCAATGTAGATAAACTTGAGTGGAGCCTAGACCTTCACCGTGCATGCTCCTAGCACCTTAAAGATTTAGACTAATTCCACTAGCTCGCAGGCTTACTCCCGTGACGATACTAGTAAGACTTTGTCAAGTCTAGTTAGTATATATCCAGCCTCTTACCCCACCCCTCCATCTCCACCAACCAGTATCCCCTCAAATTCCTTTTTCCCTCGATCTCACACCACCACTCTTTCCTCGTCGCAATGCCTCTCGAAACCGGTCTTCAAGGCGCCCATGTCCTCATTACGGGAGGTACGCGAGGCATGGGCCAAGCCATGGTGCGCCAATTCCTCCAGGAAGGCGCGAATGTCTCCTACTGCGCCCGCACCGTCACCAACACCGAGTTCAACGACGTCCACCAAACCCTCCCGGAGAGCAACTCTGCCCGTGCAGTGGGGACCGCGTTCGATGTCTCCTCCAAGGAAGCCATCGTAAACTGGGTGAACAGCTCCGCCGAACGCGTGGGACGGATCGATGTCATTATCGCCAACGGTTTGTCTTGCCCCTCCTCTTCTTACAACGACCATCCCCCACCACTGTCCGTGCTGATCCCACCATCCCCAGCATCACCCATGCATATGGAAGGCGAGACTGCGCACTGGGAGAGCAGCTTCGCGATCGACGTGATGGGCTTCGTGGAGCTGGTTAAGGCGGCCGAGCCCTACCTGGAGAAATCCCCGCAGGCCTCCATCATCGTGCAGAGCTCGTTCATGGGCCGTGAGTTCTACCGTAGTCCGCCCGCGGCCTACGGGCCCTGCAAGGCCGCCCAGCTGCAGCATGTGCAGGAGCTGTCGCACTACCTGGGCCCCAAGGGCATCCGGGTCAACGCCATCTCGCCGGGCCCCGTGCTCTGCGAGGGCGGGCCCTGGGAGCTGTACTCGAAGACCATGCCGGAGTGGGTGGAGGAGCAGCGGTTAAAGATCCCCCTGAAGCGGCTGGGAGGCCCGCAGGAGATTGCAAATGTGGCGGTGTTTTTGGCGAGTCCGTTGGCCAGCTTTGTCACGGGAACGAATGTATTGGTAGATGGTGGGATTCACGTGGGCACCCAGTTTTAGATTTCTGAGCGTATGAGATTGCAATGTCATGGATTTGAAAATCACGGTTGATTCTACTGGGTTTCAAATGAATGTCGGTGTAGCGTTAGCGGATAATTCACATAAGAGAATCTAAATCAATCAATGTGAGCACACATCTAAGATATGCAAAACAAAAAGCATGCAGGCAATGGTTCCGCTTTCCATGAAAAACAGCACGATGAATCAATAGCTCTCTGTAGCGTGATGAGATCTACCTCAGATTCGTGACTGGGATTTTCGTGCATACATTGTAGGTCAGGGATTAGATTGGAAGATGCATGGGATGCCATGAACTGGGGAAACCATGTGCTTACCATGTGCGATTAATCCCAGCCCGATCCCACGTGGTAACGCTGTGCCATCTACACCCATGCAACACAGAAGATCTACCCCTCCCCCTAACATAAGGCGTAATTCTGCACAGCCTTATTCTTGTCGAAGACAAAACTTCTACACTCTTCTACAAACCTTTTTTCCTAAACTTTAGACAACCAGCACTCGCAGCAAGGCAGCCACCTCGTGTAGGAAAGCCTACTATTCCGTATTCGCCCCAGAAGACGCTTACTCCGAGTCCCCGGAGTCATCCACTTCCCTTTAGGGCAAATTCGAAGGATTTCGCTTGCATGCGCGAGGATTCTTGGCTCACAGCAGCTCCTTCTGGAAGACACGCGTGCTCAGCTTCAGTTTCTGAGTTCCAATATGGAGACTCGAAACAGGATTTTGCTGTCAGCGTTGGTACATATAAGCTCCTTATCCACAAGGTCAAGTACAGATACATTCACTCAAGCATCAATACAATCCACCACGAAGACAGCAAAATGGTGTTTAGGACAGTCTTGCTCGCTCTCCTGCTCGGCACAGCCGCAGCCGAGCAAAGCAATACCACATCATCCCAGTGTCGATGCATGCCCAGCGACCCCTGCTGGCCGACCACGAGTGAATGGTCTCACTTCAACTCGACGGTCGGCGGACGACTCATCAAGACGGTTCCTCTGGCAGCGCCCTGTTTTGATCCCAACTACAATGCCGCCGACTGTCAGTATCTGCGGGACGAGTGGACGCAGCCCGCGTTGCAGTAAGTCTATCCGTCTCTGCCCTGCCTTGACCAAGCTTGTTGACAAAACATCGTCAGTGATGCATCTTCTTCCTCAATCATGGCTGCTGCCGTGGCCAACGAGAGCTGCGACCCCTTCGCAGCATCTACGGGCACCTGTCGTCTGGGGAACATGGTGTCCTATGCCGTGAACGTCTCGTCGCCCGCAGAGATTGCGCAGACCATAGCCTATGCCGCCGAGAAGAACATTCGACTTGTCATCCGCAACACTGGACATGAGTATATCCCCCTTCCCCTCCCTTTCCCAAGCCAATGCAACATGCCAAATCGAACAACTAACACCCACCCAGCTACATGGGCAAATCCACCGGCGCAGGTGGCCTCTCGATCTGGACACACCACCTGAAGAACATCACCGTGCACGACTACTCCTCCCCCCACTACACCGGACCGGCCGTCACGATCGGCGCCGGCGTACAAGGAGAGGAAGTCTACGCGGCCCTACACAAATCCAACCTGATAGTCGTCGGGGGCGAATGCGCCACCGTCGGCCCGGCCGGAGGCTACACGCAGGGCGGGGGCCACTCGGCCCTCAGCAGCCATTACGGGCTGGCAGCCGACCAGACGCTGGAGTGGGAGGTGGTCGACGGGCAAGGGAGACAGCTTCGCGCCTCGCCGACCGAGAACGCCGACCTCTACTGGGCGCTCAGCGGCGGCGGGGGCGGGACGTACGGGGTGGTGACCTCGATGACGGTCAAAGTGTTCCCAGACTTCCCGACGGTGGGGGTGGTGCTCGAGTTCGCGGCGCAGGACGCGAGCGATCTCGACCCCTTCTACCAAGCGGTGGAATACTACCACTCGCTGGTGCCCAGCATCACCGCGGCGGGGGGCATGGCCATCGCGCGCGTGATGAACGCCTCCTTCCTGCTCACCCCGCTGACCCTGCCCAACGCCACGCTGCAGCGCGCGCTCGACCTGCTGAGCCCGCTCACGGCCAAGCTAGACTCGCTGAACATCACCTACGCCATGAACCTCACCCACTCCCCTTCGTACGTGGACCACTACAACACCCTGATCGAGCCCAACCCCACCCAGCTCGTCGAGAACGGCCAGTACGGCGGCAAGCTGATCCCGCTGGAGGTCATCGAAAAGTCCAACGCCAACCTCACCGCCGCGGTGCGCAGTATCACACAGGACGGCGCCGTCTTCGTCAGTATCGCGTTGAACGTCTCCGCCGCCGTGACGGGCCCCACCAACAATTCTGTCCTGCCCTCGTGGCGCACGGCCGCGATGGACGTTATCCTGTCGACGTAGGTGTTCAGCCTTTGTTTCTTATGTCCGCAGATCTAGGCTCGAGAACATGCACTGATGACAAACTGGTTAGCTCCTGGCCCGACCACGCCAATCTCGGCAAGATGAAGCAGCTCGCTGACCAGATGACCCAGAAGTGGGTGCCGACGCTGGAGGCCCTGACCTCGGATCCGGGCTGTTACATGAACGAGGTAAGTTCCTGGAGCTTGGCGTCAAAACCTTTGGCAGAGCACCACTGATGGACTGGAATCTTCAGGCCGACCCGCAACAGCCCAACTGGAAGGAAGCCTTCTACGGACCCAACTACAACCGCTTGCTCGCCATCAAGAAGCAATACGACCCCCAGGATTCCTTTTACGCCTGGACAGCAGTGGGGAGTGATAATTGGGTGCAGGAGGCGGACGGTCGGCTATGTCGGGCGACTTCGTCTTAAGTGTTGTAGAAGCATGTCTAGACAGTACCTGTGGTCGCATGACGCATACTTTGTCTCCCATTCTGTGACTTAGAGCCAGCATAACCAATCCATGTTAGAACAATTGGAATACTTTACATTCTCACTCCGTCTAATTGATCTGACTGTTGGAACAACATGCAAAGAACATCACGCCAGATATCAACATCCAAAACAAAACAAACCCATCAGCAAAATCCCACCGGGTGGATTGTCCAACCTACCGCTCCGGCCCCGCCTCGCCTTGATACTTATCCGCCCCAAGAGGCAACAAACTCTTCACCGCATCCACAATACTCTCCCGCAGCGGCCGGAACTGCACCCCCAGAATCTCGCGCGCCCGCGTGTTGTCGAACCCGTACACCCCGTCGGCCGGGTACTGGCCGGGCTTCAGCGCGTCGCCCGTGGGCAGCCGGTCCCTGTACTGCGGGAACTCCTCGGCGATGATGGCGACGATCTCCGCGTTGGAGAAGTGGCTCGACACCGTGAAGAAGCGCTTGCCGCCGGCGGCCTCCTTCTCGACGGCGAGGACGTGCGCCAGGGCGAGGTCGCGGACGTCCACGAACAGGTAGTTGCCCGTGGGCGGGCAGCGGTGCTTGGCCGCGCCGGAGAGCAGGTCCCGGATGCGCTGGTTGGAGGTGTTGATGGCGTCGAGGGAGGTGAGGTGGTGGGTGATCGGGCCGAGGACGAGCGGGGGGTTCATCACGGAGAGGGTGAAGTTGGGCTTCTCGCGTTCGACGAAGTCCCAGGCGGCTCGTTCCTGTTTTTGTGAGGGTAGTTGTAAGTGAGTCTGGAGCTCGAAAATGTATTGTGTAGACCATTTGTGGGGCAGGCTTACAGCGAACGTCTTGCTGGCTCGGTAGGCGTTGGCGGGGCTGTCGTTGGCCTGGGCTTCGGTGATGGGACTCCAGTCTGCCTGTCGTGCGATCGCAGATTTAGTAAGTGCCGGATGTGAGGTTCATATAGCAAATGGCTTACCTCCGAGTATACCTTGCCAGCGGCAGAGGCGAAGACATCGTTGATGGCAGCAAAGGAAGATGTCACCACGACGCGCTTCACCAGCGGAGCATACTTCTTCACCGACTGCAAGATCCCCGTGGTGCCCGTGACGGCTGGCAACAACAACTCCTTTGCATCCTTAGCGTGAAAGTGATAGGGACTGGCAGTGTGGATGACAGCTTCGAAAGGAGGATCCGAGACCACCGCGCGGTCAAAAGCTGGTTGGCTGGTTAGTCATGGAAAGGCATTGGTTTCTCAAAGACGGATAGACTGTACCGTTCGGCTGGGCAATATCTTCAACAATAGCAAACGACAAGCGATCCTGGTTGACATCTGGGTGGGCCTTCTGGATGGCGTCGGCCTTGGTCTGCGATCGAACGGTGGTGACGACGGAGTGGCCGCGGGCCAGGAGGGTTTCCAGGACATGGGCAGCGATGAAGCCGCTCCCACCTGTTGGGCAGTTAGTCTCGAATCTTTGGCCCGGGAGTACAGTGAGATATACCGGTGAGAAGTACGCGAGTCATGGTGTGTGAGGGCGGTTTCTCAACAAGACTGATATATTGAAAGAGCAGGAGTTGAGGCAGGAAAAGGTAGAGTAGCATTGAGCAAAGAGGGGTCTTGTTATCGTTATTTGTACTTTCTTATCGGAGTGGCATGAGCTCTTATCGGCTCCTTAGTCAGCGCCCCTGCATCGCGCTTACCCGATTCGGCCATCCTGCCTGTCACCCAAAGGAGTTTCGGAGTGGCCGTTGTCTGAAAGGAGTTAACCGCTTTAATCCCGAAGCCCCGATCAGCTCACCACCGCACTTCCGTCTCCTTCACCTATTCTGGCCATTGATTATTCGGAGTACGCGCTGTGAAGGGTCTTCAAGTTGTTTACAGACCCAGAAGTCTAGATTAGGATGGACGCGCGGAAACCTTGGAAGGCCGGCCAATGCAAAACAACAGGTGTATTCAACTAATCCTAGTTGGTCCCAAACAATCCCATCCTCCGCTTCTATGCACCATTACCCAACACAGTCATCCCCAGCAGTTCAATCTATATGCAGTAGCACCTTCAATATCCCCACCCCACCATCTTCATCTTCAGTTGAAACCGATCCAGCCACAAGCTCACAGCCAGACACTGCCCCCATATGGATCCGCCCGATACTCCTTCTGTCCATCGGCCCAGAAGGTGCTCGCCGTGCCAAAGGTATCCTCCATGTACTGGAAGTAGGTGATCTTCATGTCCTCGTTGATCTCGGCCCGAGCCGACCAGGGGGCGGTGATGGTTTTCTGCATGATGTTGGAGGTGATCTCGAACTGGCCCCAGGCAGTGACATTGCCCCCGCCATCGCTGAAGATGGCGTCGATCGAGAACGGGCCGCGGGTCCACCAGAGACCGACACGTGTGAAGGTGTCCAGGAAGGCCTGATAGCCCACCCGGTAGCGTGTCCCCGCCCACGGCATGATCTTATGCAGGTCCGGGTTGTCCATGGTGAGCGAGACGTAGGTGGCGTCCAGGGTGACGCACTCCTTGATGAGGTCCGGGTCTGGGTTGGGCTGGGTGTTGAGAATCTGGAGGAAGACGTTCATCGGGGTGCGGGTGAGGTTGGCGGGCCAGATCACCGTGGGACTGGTGTAGCGCTTGTCGAGGTGGGCTGCGTCTTCTTTGTTGGGCGCAGGTCCGTGGGGTACGGCGGCGGCTAGGGGAGACCAGACGAAGAACAAGCTTAGTGCCACGAGGCAGATGCGCAGGCTGGGTATTGTTGCGAACATATTTGCACTTCTCGTGTCACGTTTCGGTGATGAGCAACGAGGCAGACCTCTTTTGAGGTAACAGAGGGAAGATGTGTTTGGATTGTTCTGTCTGTTCTTGTGGTTGTCTGCTGTCCTCCAGCACCTTTATATAGAGCCGTCCATGAAATCTCATTCAGCAGTCTACCGACTTCACCACTCCAGCCTCAGCTACCAAGACCATTGCATTCCTCACAGCGTGCTGAAGCTATCCGGAGTACTCGAATGGGTTCACGGACTTCCAGAAAAGAAGCTCGAAGGAATCTTCTCCGGAGGATTTGGGGGCGGACGCCGGCAGGATCCATCGAATACGAGGGTGTCGAGGGGTTCTACCAAAGAGATTCGCTGTAGCTTTGGGTGTATAGGAGTCCAGCTCCACTTCCAAGATGCTTGGCCTAATAGCATTTCGCTTATTTTCCATGTTTTTCAAAGTATGCTCTTCGGTAGAAACCCGGAGGCGATAGTTGGCTTGAGAGTGCTGTCGAGATAGGTTCGTGGGGAAATCCTTGTCACTTGTCTGGGGATTGCCGTGCAACCGAACCTGGTCCTAGTCAAGTACCCTTATCTCAGTGTATCCCTGCCTTTCTGCGTTGACCTCGTGGACGACCATGTGGTTAGTGAGACTCTTCTGCAAGTTCCTCGTGGTCGAGTAGATTGTAGGATCGTGATCTACACCGCCGGCCCAGGGCTACGTGATTGCAGCACCGGTTCCGCATTGGGGGCTCCGGATCTCCGACAGCTCCTTTGGACAGGGATCCCTGGCCGTGTTGGGTTAGCGCGGTGCTAAGCCTTGCATGACACTAGCCTGCATCCAAGCCCACTAATGTGATCGAGCAGCAGGCCCGCGTCGAACTTCATAGGCAAAGATGGAGAACGTGATAGACTACCTATCTTTCATGATTTGATGCTCATGCTGATGAGGCAACCAAGACCATGCAAGTGAACAACTCTTGTGATGGAAGCAGTGGTTGATTGCGGTCACGTCTCAACCATGCCGCTTCTGCCTATGCATTCGGCTCAACTCTTGCTCTGACCTTGTAGCAAGTGTATAGCTACGAAAAATATTTTGCAAGTCGGGTTGAGCTCATTGAAGAGACAAAATAGTGTGTAGCAAGTATATGGGATCATGTTGCAGTTGCACGCAATCATCCAGTTTTATGGACGCAACATACATGTTAAGAAATATATTTTTTTGTTAGTGGAACTTGCCGCCCTGGAACTGGTACATGACAATGGCCCCTTGCTTTAAGTGCCAAGGTGTATTCTAAGCATGCACTGAATGTAAGTAAAGACAGACTCAATATAGCTAAGTACCATGACCTTTCGATGTCAGCTTAGATGAAACAACATTTCCAATTCAACAACCAGCTTATGAGCAGCGTTCCGCATAATGATGCAAAGGGTAATAAAGTTTACTTTGCAACATTGCAATAGAAGGCGAGAAATCGAGGTAGAGTGAGCAATAAACGGGGATCCCAGAACTCATATTGAATTCTTACATGATAGCAAGTAACAATGACCAGAACACAGGGACCCGGGACCAGGTGAGTCATTATCCTGACATATCCACTGTATTCGGGTCTGCTGTGCGACATGAACATTTTATGAGTCAATAAAAGCGTGTTTGTCTCCCAGCCTACCTATCGACACATGAGGAACATTCCATCTTCCCCTTTCCTTCAGCTTTCTTGGACCATCGCGCTTTTATATCTTTTTGGCCTGGTGGTGGATATTTCATCTGTCAAAGACTGCATAAAAAGATTCTCCCTCGTGCATACTCCCGCCCATTCAATACCCCAATCCACTTCAGCCTCAATGACGTCTGTCAAGGTAGCAGAGATATCCCGTGCGGATCTCAGAAGCACTTGTCAGGAGATGGCCTGGATCACAGATGTCCAACACCTATCCTCCTATAACTGGATCGAAGCCTCGCCACCGACCATCGCCGTCCCCGGCCGTCCTGCCCTCTGGACTCCACCAGAACTGCACACCAAGCTCCACAAGGATTATGGCTTGATTTACATAGCCCAGAATGCTGCGCGCCACCCCGCCAGTCCATTCGAGCCCCTCTTCCGCGCCGTGTACCTCGAGAACCCTGCGTTCGACATCCGCTCGATCGACCTAGTGACGGACCAGACCAACATCCGCAAGCTTCTCGCGTTCGTCAACCCCAAAACCTCACGCAGTGACCACAAACCGTTCACCATCAATGTAGAAAGGGTCCGCAACACACAGACTGTGATCCTTTGCCGGTCGGAGCGAGAGGCATACGATACCATCCTACCGTATCAGTACATAGGATTCGCAAAGGAGTTTGCGAAGGCCTTCGCTACCGAGCAGGTGACGGGGAGTACCGGACATTACAGGATCATCTCATACCGATTCGGGGGCTTGAAGCTGATGGTTCGTCACGAAACGGACGGCTATGTTGGCTCCCCGCTTTCGAACGGGTCTACGGGAGTCGGAGACGTGAATGTTGATGAGGTTTCCCGTCCCTTTGAGTACCTCTATTACGGTAGACCGTATCTGCAATTGTCCCAGGCTGCTTCTTTAGCTGGGGCGGGGTTGTCGATCAAGAGAGAAAGCCAGGTTGTTCCCATTCAATCTACGCTTGAGGTCAAAACTCGCGCTGTTTCTATGCCTATTGATGTCGACGAGGTCATCCCCTAGCCCTGGGTGTCTCAGACCCCGAACCTTGTGCGCGCCTGCCACATGGGAGGACTTTTTGAGAAGCCCACGGTTGAAAATATGACGGCGGAGATCAAGAAGTGGGAAGAAGCTCACCAGCATGACCTTGAAAGGTTCGTGTGTCTTTTGCAAAGAATTATTCATATGGTCGAGGAATGTGGAGGAAAGGCTGTTCTCAAGTACGACGCAGATCGTGATAAGTTGGAATTGTGGGAGGAAAGCACAAAGGATATGCTACCTGCAGACCTGTACGACAGATTCCACCAGGAAAAAATCAGCTCCAAGTCCGAACCGGCGTCAAGTTCCGATCGTGACTCGAAGGCGACACTCGATCCTTGAGGGGGTTAATATTATGTTGTTTACATTATGACCACCTTGCTGAAGCTATCTTTGAACAGACTGCGAATTCCGGAGTTTGGAAGTATGTCAAATGGAAGGTTTAAAAAATTAGTTTGCTGCTTCATAAATCACTGAAAGGCGATGGAATTGTTCGTCTTTGTGTTAGGAACAAGGTCTTGATTGAAGCTGGATTAAATTGCAAGCTTTATCCACCCAAGATGCTTAGGTATATCTTTAATAAGCAGATCTATAGTAAGATCACGACGATATGCTACTGAGAAAGCTTCCGAAAATGTCTACCAATGCAGCCAAGGCTTCAGTTTAAAGTGTATATGGGTTGACCACATTTCACCTTACAAAGTAGCATCAATGTCTAAAATGCCTCACTACAAGTAAAATGCTTTTCGGGAATGATCGATCCAAACAAGGCCACTGCTGTATTTTCTTCCGCAGTCCTCGCAGCTGGTGCGCCTCTGAAGGATCATGATTACCTAGCCTATAACAATCGCGGCGGGTATTATTGATGCTGCAGAGCTGGTGGTTGAAGATAGGGTGTATTCCTTGGTGTTATTCAGAGCTCCCGACCATGCGATAGTATTGAGCTTTAATTTATGAGAGGTTGATGCAGAAAGTTTTCAGTAGGTCCAATGTTAACACCATGGGAGATGTTTGAAAGAGGGGAGTTGGTGATTTCGAAGAGGGATGTGTAAGGTGTCTTGGTGAAAGCGAAGGGAATTTCAGAAAGGTCTGATCGGCTTGATACTAAAGTATCGCATGAGTTATGCTGCCTATGGCCAGCCAACCTAGAGACTCACTCCTGCTGAAAATACTGATTTGAAGTCTAGTAAAATGGCACAGCGCCACGAAAGTGTACCATGCCATAACCCATTCTTGAATGGTTTGAAAGAAGTCACGATTCTGTAAGTGAAGTACATAGGTTTAGCAGATATGATGGCCATTCGAAAAGGAATCACATAAGAAAAGTGATTCATTTTAATCGTGGTCCAGAACCATTAGATCATCCGCATCTCCATCTTCCACCTTAACACGCTTTTCCACCTTGACAGGAACTTCGACCCTGACGGACCTTTCCACTGAGATACGCTCTTCTAGCTTGGTGCTAGCTTGGTGGAGCTCTCTGTTTCTGGAAAAATCTTCCCCTGATCAAGTTCTTCTGCTTTGATAGAGCTGCTCATTTCGAAAGACTGGTCCGGCTCGGTATCTGCAATTCTATCACTGACCAGTACAGTTGCTGCAGCCCATATCTTTGACTCATCATCATGCTCGCCATGCACAGATCCAAAGGCTACTAAAGCAGGCTGCACAAAGAGCACGATATCAGTGCCATCTAGGCGCCCATCGTCATCATCAAGATGGTGAAGGCGATGCGCTTCCGCAATCGGATCCCCGTTCCAAAAGTAGTCTACCTGGTCGAGGCTGTAGCAGATCATGTTTGTACGCTGGGTCCAAAGAGATAAAGCCAGATGAGCGGCTCCTGCAAGCACGTTCTCAAGTTCGTTCACGCGATGGTAGAGGGCAAGAGGGCCCCCGGACTTTTCTAGTAGGGCATTGGCAGAGCTGTCTAGAAAGAATTGTGCGAGGTCACTGCTGAGACTGTCAATCTGACCGCGTAGGAACGACTTTGCACTTTGGCCCGAGGGTAAGCAGAGAACTCGCAACATCTGCGAGCGCCAGGCATGGCCCTCCACTTCATCGACTATTCTCCGTTAGACTTAGTACTTCGATCAAGTAGCGATTAACATGCTCACCTAGTCTCATCTGACCATAAATCTGTCCCAAACCGTCAGACAATGGCAGAGAATCGGTAGTTTCCATGCGTCTGAAAAGAAAAAATGGGTTTCCAAATATCCATTCGAACACCATATTGGCTAGAGCGGCTTGCATGAGAATTGCTGGAATTTTGTCGACCGAAATAGAGAGCCTGTTGACCAGGGACAACCATGATGGCTCGCTGCAGTATGTACCTAGGTCCACGACCACCAGATCCAGTTCTGCTTCTGACACGTTTTCCAGCCTTGCCACATCTGACACTGCATACTTTCTGGCCCAGGAGCGGATGTTCTCTTGCAACCTAATCAGAGCACCTTGAACCTCATGGTCATCCATCGGTGCTAGGCCTTTTCCTGCATTCAGAGATTCCAGAGCCGATTCCTGCCTGGCAATTACCATAGCCTGGAGTTTTGCAATCTTCTCCTTGTGCACGTAAATCTGTTGCTCAAGCTTCTTGATCACTGTCTTCTGGTTCCTGGCCTGGTCGCGAAGCCTACTCACGCGATGGTTATGGTGGTTTGCACGTTTGTTGAGGTCATCAATAATCTCCCGCTCGCGGGTCTCGGCTTGCCGAATCAGCGACTCCTTTTCCCTGAGCAGCCTGTTGACCTTGGCATCGAGCTCGCTTATCTGTCCAGAGTACTCAGTTCCGCCTGGTTGCTCGGAGTCGCTGGTGCTACCGTCATCAGACCGACTTGTCTGGAGGGCAATATCTGTGCTTTGATCGGATGTCCTTTCAGGTTGCGGCTGCATGCGTTCATTGTTGGACGGTCCGTGATTTTGTGTCTATGAATCGGTTTCATCCCCTGGGAGATACTACAAAAATGTGAGAGAACAGTCTTAAAATTGTATGGAGGGTAATAAGAGTTGACAAACCTTTCTCAATTCGCGAAACCATCTCCCTACCACTCTTGGTGGACTTAGTGAATTGGCATACATATTGTCCTTATGTTTGCAGCTTCTAGCTTTGTATTATCGGTATATCTCAGTTCTCTGTCTCTGGGCAGCGGCTGGATGTTTGATGACAGTAAGTGGTGATAATCTCGGTTTGTGTTGGTGGTGCTGACGAGGTGGTTCTGAAGTTGAGATGGGGTGGAGGTGAGATTAGCTGACACTCAAACCCGTAGATACAAATGTGGAAGCTCCTTTGGCATGACTTGAAGGAAACCTGATGAGGTTGTCAGTGAAAACAGTGACATGAAGTAGCTCTGAGAGTAACATGACAAGTGTTGCCCCGCCACCCTTCATTTTTTTCTTCAAGGCTGACACCCTTCACTCACATTTCAGGATCATCTTGTCATAAGATTAAGATTCCTTCTATTTACTTGCTCCTCATTCCTCATGCTAGTTAATGAGAATTCTCTTCCACCTATCCTTCTTCTTTTCTCGGTGTCTTACCTCAATCAACAGCTGCTGACCGGGTATCGAAACTGGCCAGTGGAAAGTTTGAGTTCCTGCTTCCCTGCCCACAGTATCTTCCTTTGGGTTGCTCTAAACCACGGTGCTCAATATTCTAATACATATCACCAACAAAGATGGCAGAATCGGCCGACTCGACCCTGCTGGGCGTTGACGCATCCCACCGCAAGATTATTGTGGGCATTGATTATGGCACCACATTCACAGGAGCGAGTTATGTCAGTTCTCGGGGATTGTCGCTAGAAAATATCACCGTCATCAAAACATGGCCAGGGAATGCGCGCAACATTGATACTGTGTCCAAAACACCATCCCGGATTGCATACGCCACCGAAAATGGAAAAGCTGCCAGAGACCTCTGGGGTTACCAGGTCCCGCCTGGGATGGTTGCATACTCTTGGACAAAGCTTCTACTGGACAAAAATACGGCGCTGACGGCGTATGATGACACAGCTCTTGAAGAGGCTTCGGCAGCTGGCATCTTGCGTCTCCCGACCGGGAAATCAGCAGTCGATGTGGCGGCCGACTATCTGACCCATATCTACCAACACATCAAATTTACCCTTGCCCGCCACATCACGCAGCAAGATCTAGATATCACACCCCTCGAGTTCTGGTTTACTGTCCCCGCAATCTGGTCCGATCAAGCCAAGAATGCCACCCGCACAGCTGCGCAAAGAGCAGGATTTTGGTCAAGCCCGGACAGACCTTTCGACCGGTTGTACTTCATCAGCGAGCCTGAAGCGGCCGCAATTACAGCGCTTAAAAAGTATACCGATGAGAGTATTGGAGGCTCTGTCCAGGTTAGTATTTCCCTCTTACCTCACAAGTTGTGTTCTTTCTCACACTTCTAGGTTGGAGACGGCGTGCTTATCTGTGATTGTGGCGGTGGGACTGTGGTAGGTTCCTTGTGTTGCTCTCCCCGTGATTTCCCTTGACCATGCTTATTGGTGATCTAGGATATTACCACCTACGTTGTCAAGCAGGTTACTCAAACTCAAGTTCGAAGAGCTGTTGACTGGTATTGGTATGGACCTCTCGCTAATACCCTCGTCGTGAGACTGTCGCTGAATATTTATGCAGGAGGGAAATGCGGTTCTACGGCAATCGATCGTAACTTCTACAAGCTCATGTCCCACAGATTTGGTAAGGCATTCGATAATTTGCCAGTATCTGCAAAGGGCCCAGGAAGCCACTTCATGAATAGGTTCGAGGTCATCAAGAAGGATTTTGGCAATTCATGTTTTCTCGACATACTCGAATTGCCTCTGAACATGACTTTGCCAAAAGCAAAAAGCAGCAAGCACTTCGACGCAGATGAACGCCTAGTTAAGATCACAAGGTATGAGGTTATTTCTATCATATATGAAGAAGTGCTCAAACTGGCATAGCGATGACTTGCGCGCTATCTTCGATCCTGTGGTCAATCAGATTATCAGTCTGGTGCAGCGACAGATCACCGACGCCCGCAACTTCGGCGGTAGAGAGATGATCAATGTACGCAAGCTCTATTCGTCTACAACCATGTACTCTGGCCTTTGGACTTACCTCTCGATCAGAGAATCATACTCGTCGGTGGATTCGGCGAGTCGGAATACCTTCGAAGAGCCCTCGTGTCAACATTCGAGACTACGGGCAAGATTGCCGTCACGATCCCCGATAACCCGTGAGCAACAACTACATAACCTGAGATTTCAAGCATTGCTAATCATCTTATCAATCTAACTAATTCTAGGCAAGCGGCTATCGTTTAGGGTGCCGCCCTTCGCGGTCCGGAAGGTATTCGGTCAACCACCAAGCGGTGTCGGCGCCACTATGGCTTTGACTGGGCCATCGATTTCCGTGAAGGTCACGATGACGAAAGACACACCTATATTGATTTGTTCGATGGCAAAAAAAGGGTCCGTGGTATCATGAAGTGGATGATCGCTAAGGTGAGATTTGCCAGGCTATCAGTGTAAATGCCACACGCCCCACTAATACATCCGCCAGGGTGAAAAATACGCCGAGGACTACAAGCAAACTGTATACATCCAGTGGACACACCGTAAATGTGACAACCTGAGAAAACGTGACGAATTTTACGCTTGTGATCAAATGCTGGCCCCGGAACGATCAGACGATGCCGGTAAGCTCTCTCTCTCTGGACAAGTGGATCCAGGTCTAATCATGCAATAATGGAAGGTGTCTACAAGGTCGGTTCTATTGTGGTTGACTTCACCCAAGTCGACCTCTCTCAATTTGCCGTCCAGAAGAAGAACGGGCAGAAAGTCTACAATTTGGAATACAATATTAGGGTTACATTTGGCGCGCATTATGGATTGTTGAAATTTGAGGCAACCTGTCAAGGGAAGACTATTGGCAAAACGAGCATCGAGTTCACAGCGACCTGACTGACTCTTTGACTGGTCTGACGAGTGTGGCCTCACTCTCTTATCTCCCAGGCTACTGTGAGAACTCGAGATTGTTGATCATAGAGTGAGAGAGTGGCTATATCATCTTAGCAAGAGTCTAAGTGCTCACGAATCTCAAAATGATGCGAAGAATAATCGGCTCCAGGTTGTGTTTTTTAGGCGAGTGATATGAGACCCTGAACCCGCACGAATCGACATATGACGCGCTCTTCGGTAGAACTGCGAAGTAATACGTAATGGACCAGGTAGTTAGTTGTATGCTAGTGTTTTCGAGAAGGGCTGCGGTCGAAGGATCACTTTCTCCTTCAGGGAGCTATATACAATGGCAGAAATGCTCTAGGATGTAGAGACCGACGGGTTGTTTAATCTCAATCGGTCAAAGCCTCAACCTCAAGACACCTATCGCCTTATATAAGGGTATGATCTCAGATTCAAATCTGAACAGTGTCTGTCGACCACAGCAAGCAAACAGGTATCTAGCAATTATTGCGGCCTTACTGCCTAAGGCTTGAATTGCATACAAAGCAAACAACACGCCGCCGTCCCTGCCTTTCCGGTGATAGAAGCGGAATGCGCCGCACCTCAATGTCTACCCAAAATTATCATTTTATGTGTTCACGCTGGGTCCACCCACCTAAGTGTCTTCTCCCTGAGCGCGTGTGGCTGAGATGGAAGTCACGCGGCGGATGGGCCGCCAAAAGCGACCGCGAGTGCCGGAATCTGCACGGAAAAGAGCAGCCCAAGCGTAGGAGTCGCCGCCCTTTGCATCATAGAGGAAGCTAACCCGTCCGCCGATCGCCGACAGCTGCGTCCCTTGTCGGTATCATAAAGAGAAATGTACAACTTTACCCCAAGCTTTGCTTACAACCACTGATCAGTTCGCAGGCGGGGGAGGCGTGCCGTGCGCGCGCTGTCGTCAGTATAATCGTGCATGCCGATTCGAAACGGCGGCAACGCAGCGGCTGGTCAGAGACACCAACGACAATAATACTGGGTTTGACTCAACTAAAACTCTACCCTACAAGAGACTAATATCTAATAGCGCTGCGCCTGCCTCAATACCAGAAGAGAGAGAAGCTGTTATAATGAGGATAATCAAACATTTCATCGGCGATGTGGCGACTGACACGGCGAGTTTGCAAAGTATTGCCGATGCACTTGAGAAGCGAAGTCCGGACCACGACGTTCAAATGATATCAGCGACGACAGAACCAGAACCAGAAAACTTTTCTCTTGAGCCACTATCGAGCAGCGCCATGCGTAAGCTTCAAAGCACCAATCTTCCCGCACCCGACTGACAACTTCCAGACTATTACGGGGAGTTATCTCACTGGAACTTTTCCCAAATGCTTCTTCGTAGGTTGCGGAGTTCAGGCAGTGGGACGGACCAGAACCATGTATCTTCACCCCTGACGAAGTCGCTTAAAAGCTTCTGCTGATTGTGTTTTAGGGGATAGACAAAGTCCGCGGAGTACATCGTGCCACCGACTTACAATCACCCACATCAGTGGTCTCTTCTGCTATGGTTTACTTTCCACCTAGGGATATCGGAGAATTCCTCATCGAGACGTTTCTTCAATTCGCCCAAACCAATTACTTCTATTTTGATGAGAGAACGCTAAGACAGAAGATGGACTATTATTATTCCAATGAGCATGCGCTGACCATACACGACGCTGGGTGGATATGTACCCTTCTCATGACTTTCGCTATAGGAACCCAATTTGCCTATATGCAGACGAAGCCAACGCAGATGAGCCTCCATCTTTCTCAAGAGATACCGGATGATCGTGCTGGGCTAGAGCTCTATCGATTCTCTTGTCGACTGATTCCTGACCTGATTACCGTGGCATCCGTTGAGACGGTACAGGCCTTCTTGCTACTGGGTAGCTACACGGTGCCGATCGACACATCTGGCCTGGCTTACACGTACTATGGTCTTGCTACTAAGATGGCGATTCAGAATGGCATGCATAGAGATAGTTCTCATCTCTCGCTTGACCTTGATACTCTCGAGTGGCGGAATCGTCTGTGGTGGTCCGCCTACTCACTCGAAAGGTGCTCCCTGCCACAAGAACAAGTTTATCGTGTCCGTTGCTAACTCTATTATAGTCGTATCAGCATCCTGCACGGAAGGCCAGTATCTGTCTCTCGTCTCGAAGTCGATGCGAAGTTTCCGACCGACCACGCCTTACCCCTCCCGACCGGAAGAGCTTCGAACTTGGAGAACGTGAATGCAAATATCTTCTTAACGAGCCAGCTGAGTAAGGTGTCCCAAACCATTATGCACCTACGGGGATGTCCACGCCTTCAACAAAAAGGCCACCTTCAGGAGCTGATGGTGATACGGTCTAATCTCAGCAAGTGGTGGTCATCCCTTCCAACGGAAGTCCATTGCCGAGACCTGACCCCAACTGGACCTCTGTTCCGTTGCAATGTTCATCTGGAGCTGAGCTATGATACTGTGATAATATACATGGGCCGTCCATTTATCTTCGCGCCAAAGCCAAGTCATTCCTTGCCATCAGACGCGTGCAGTGAGAGTCCGATCAGCACGTTTTCGGCCGACTGCCTCGATGCCGCGATTCGAATCATCGATCTCTGCCAGCTTCTGCACGACTCAGTCGGCATTGCCCGCGTCTCATACACCGAATTCAGCTCCTGCCGCGCGGCACTGCTTGCGTTGATCGCGCATAGCCTGAACCAACAGACAGACCGTGTCCTGAACAGTCTGTCTCAAGGCATGATTCTCATCCGACAAATGTGCGTGGGTGTAGAATCCGCCCGATCGGATGTGGCGGCTATCGAAGCATTGGAGCTGGCGCGTCAGCGACTGCAACGGCAGGAGGATCGGACGCAGGAATGGAACAACGATGCAAACTCAGGATATAGTCAGTTCCAGCGATGGGCACAACTTTGGCAACCTAATAGTCTCACCTCGCACCCAATGCCAACTCCTGGGCCTGGGTCTTTAGCTGATCTCCCCGAGAATCTGACCCCGCCCTCCTTCGATGGGTTCTTTGCCTCCTTGCCTCAAGAGCTGGACTCTTTTGCGACCATCACGGGTTCCGATCAGCTGTTCTTGGATGATAGTTGGCTTGGGGAGACGGGCGGTTCGATCCTGTCTGCGGAAGGCAATATCCCTTTCGGTCAGGGGCTGTGAAGATTCAAGTGGGAGTTTGAGCAAATGCCTATTATGGGAACGATGCAAGTCATGATGACATTCTTCTTGTAGACTGTCGCGATGGTCTTGCACTGGGCGACGCTTCTGACACAGCTGTAGGCTACATAACATTCAGGTTCAACTTCGAACAAGACCTCCTGCATCCCATGTCGGAGAAGTGAGCAGTGGCCGCGCAGCACCCGGGCCGAGAGAAGCTGGTCCGGCATCGGAGTGACAGGCGGGCACTGGATCGGGTAAGCGTACCCGAGTGGGGATATTGAGGGGAAACCCGTTTATGCAGTCCAGGCTAACTGCTTCCACTCCCCGCACCGACCAGCCATGATGTATATCTATCCTCACGTTCCTGGCATCTTTGGTCACACATCAGCACAATCAAAGCACATTCTCCACTAACTACCATGGCTCAATTATCTGACTACCGTCTCCTCACATTCGATGTCTACGGCACGCTAGTGGACTGGGAAACCGGCATCCTGACCGCCTTCCAGCCCACCCTGGACAAAGCCAACGCGCAATTCTCGCGCCACCACCTCCTGACCGTCTACCACGAGCTGGAACATGCGCAGCAGGAACAGACCCCCGACATGCCCTATTCTGAACTCCTGACCACCATCCACCCCACCTGGGCGGGGCGTCTGAGTCTCCCCGCCCCCTCCCGCGACGAGAGCATCCGCTTCGGCGAATCGGTCGGCAACTGGCCCGCCTTCCCGGATACCGTCGACGCGCTCAAACGTCTCTCGAAGCATTACAAGCTCGTGGTGCTATCCAACGTCGACCGCGAATCATTCGCCAAGACAAACGCTGGCAGTCTCCAGGGATTCGAGTTCGACTTGATCATCACCGCGCAGGACGTGGGGAGCTACAAACCCGACCTAAAGAACTTCGAGCACATGTTGCACGCGGTCAAAGAGAAGTTCGGAGTCGAGAAGAGCCAGGTTTTGCAGACAGCACAGAGTCAGTTTCATGATCATTACCCTGCACGCAAGGCGGGAATCAAGTCGGTCTGGATTGAGAGGCCTGGGGCTACGATGGGGAACATGGAGGAGACTATCTTTGACTGGAAGTTCGATACTCTGGGCGAGATGGCGGATGCTGTGGACGGTGGACGATGAGATCCTAGACTGGGCTGAGCGGGAACGGACCCACGATAGATCCAATAGATGAAGATGAATTTATCAGTGTCTCATTTTCTCATCCTGTCCATCTTTCGGGTTTGTCTGACTATGCGCAATTGCATACTGCTATCCGGGTACAGGTACCCGAGTGGGGACGGAAGGGGAGCAGAAAAGTGGGCACGGCGCAGAAAACAGCAAAGCAGAGTGGAGTAGACACAGGACACGGACGAATACTAAAAGGGCTTTAAAGAAACCTGCAATTGAGGGAGACAAGCTAAAATAATCTCCGAGCAAATGTCCATCTTCTTCGAGTCTGAAGCCTGCACTCAACACTACATGCGCCCCAGCATTGCTGCACGGTCAGTCTCCTAGCCCAACCACAACCATGACAGTCGCTAATATGCAAAAAATCCAGCCACGCCATCTCCAAAATCATCTCCCTACCGGCACGACCACACCCACACCCACAACGCAAAATGCGGTTCGCAGATGCAAGTCCCCTTCCCCTTCCCCTTCGCCACACCCCCAACCCCAGAAACTAACAAAGCAAAAAAGGTAGCAGTAACCTACACGGCGGACCAATTCCACGGCCTCTATCGCGGCGGCAAACCGCACCACGCACCGGACTGGGCACACGTCGTCGGGCGCGCCCGCGCCCACGGCTGCGAGAAGATGCTCCTGACCACGATGACCCTGGCCGGCGCATCGCAGAACCTGGCCATCACCCGCGAGTACCCGACCATGTGCACCATGACGCTCGGCGTGCACCCCTACCACGCCAGCGAGATCTACGCCGACGAAGCCGCAGCCGCAGCCGCAACTGGCTCCTACCTCACCCGCCTCCGCGAGCTAGGCCACGCCCTCCTCGCCGCCACCACCACCACCACCCACCCGTCCCCGCTCGTCGCCTTCGGCGAGATCGGCCTCGACTACGTGTATCTCGACCGCGCCGACAAGGCGACCCAGCAGCGCGCGTTCCGCGACCAGCTGGATATCGCGGTGGAGCTGCATCTCCCGCTCTTCCTGCATGTGCGGGGCGAGGGGGCGTGCGAGGATGTGGTGGCGATCCTGCGGCCGTATTTGCAGCGGCTGCCGGTTGGGAGGCGGGGGCTGGTGCATTCGTTTGCCGGGTCGGCGGAGGAGATGCGCGTGTTGGTGGGGCTGGGGTTTGGGATTAGTGTCAACGGGGTGAGTTTTCGGACGGAGGAGGGGCGCGAGATGGTGCGGCAGGTGCCGTTGGAGGTGTTGCAGATGGAGACGGATGCGCCGTGGTGTGAGATTGTGGAGGATGAGGCCATCAAGCCGTTCTTGGAGGGGGCCAGACCCCTGCCCGCGGCGAGGAAGAGTAATAGGTTTGTGGAGGGGTTGATGGTCAAGGGGAGGAATGAGAGTTGTACGATGGAGCGGGTGGCGAGGGTGGTGGCGGGGTTGAAGGGGGTCGAGGTGGAGCTGGTTGCTGAGGCGGCGTGGAGGAATAGTCTGGCCATGTTTGGGTTGGGAGTAGGAGATGGCGAGGGAGAGGGAGAGAAGGAGGGGGGTTTGAAGAATTGAGTGGTTCCGTGGTTGGACTACTGTACAGTATATATGCGTCATGTGAATAGTTAGATTTTAGAACTGCTACGGCAGATAGAGAGGTTGTTTACTGGTTTTGCTGTTTTCATTGAGCTACGGCGCGCCTGGAAAATGAGCCTCATGTTGTTGCATCGCTGTTGTTAGCGTCAGACTGTCCGTTGCTTGATGGAAATGCGATAGAAACAGGAACATGGATAGCGATCGCGAAAGACCACGAACTATTCTTTGTCTAGGGGTACAATGCCATCCATGTATTGCGCGGCCGCAGTGCAAGCATTCGATCCACACACAATTCCTTAGTTGCGGCCTGATTACACGTCGCAGTAGATGCTTTCGTCGCCAGTCCTACGACGTCAAATACTTGGCTTAGGATGAATATTTCCATAGTGTACGAATACTCATTTTCCAGGCAACCATCATTCGGAGTGACAGAAATGCTGAATTGTTCTGCAACGTTGAGCTTCACAGGCGCTGTTGCCTGTTGACGAGCGGCAAGCTGTTGGCGTTGTAGACTTTCAAAGTTGCCTAGCGCAAGGAACCTATATAGGAAGCACCTGCCTTTACCTTTACTTGGATGACTCAAATGGTGCTTCCACATTGCAAGAACAAGTTAGTTTTTCAGATCATCAGAACTACTTCAACATGTCGGTAAGTGCAGCCCGAATCATGAGATGTCCGACTCAGCACTGACAATCCGCCAACTCCAGATGCCATCGGGGTGCGTCCTAAACTTCCCTGGCCCTTAAAATCATCCCTTCAAATCTTTACCTAAGCCAAACAGAGTCATGATCTCGGATGATTGTATCACTGCGTCCCGGTCACTCCGCTTCGGCAGAGGGCCCAAGAAGCCCCGGTTTGTGATCTACAAGATCTCCGACGACGAGACCACAGTCGAACTATGCAAATCCTCTTACGAATCAAACTACGAGGTCTTCCTCCACTCCCTCTGCGGTGCGAAAGACAGCACAGGGAAGCCAATGCCACGATACGCGGTGTACGACGTGGAATATGACCTTGGGGAAGACGGGAAGCGCTCCCGCCTGGTGTTTATCAGCTGGGTCCCCCGGGAGACATCACTTAAGGTGAGCTCCACCACATTATCTCTGACGGCCCACTGGATTCAGGTTGACACTTCTGCAAAGTGGTGTATGTTATATGCAACCACAAAGGAGCAGTTACGGAACGCGCTCGACATCAAGCTTGCCATCCACGCGGATGTCCCAGATGACCTGGAGTGGCGGAATATCTTGAGCGTCGCTAGCGGGGGGAGGGTCTAGGGTTTGGGGCTTCGTGTGGTGTCTTGCTGTGCGAAGCATACGTTTTATTTTGTTGACAACTTGTATGCAGTAGTAGATAACCACTACATCCTGAGAGTACGATTTTCTTGACGCTCTTCACTAGCGACTTAGTAATTCTGATTAGGAATATAATGACCTTTTTAAGCACATTGATAAGCGCCTTTGTAAGCAATTATAGCAGTGTAGCCTTCCTCAATACCTAAAGTTATATGGTTTCTGCGTTATTATTCTACCAAGAGTGATTGACTGTGGTATTTGATGGACATTGCTTCGACGAATTGCATCATACAAAGCATGACGTTTACTTTGGAAGATATAGACGATATTAAGTGCACTTACTTTCTAGAGCGGTATATGACTTCATCATTGTACCGCTGGACACAGTACTCACGAAAGTGCTTAGAAGTGAGACATGAAAGCTTTCTACCTGCAGTATGGAAAGTAAATTACAAAATAGAGAAAGGTTTAGAACAGAACTCAGGGCGGGCGGGTGTATGCACCGCACCCTGGATTTGATCATTACTGCGGCACATCGCGTCATAACTCTTCGCCGGTGAGCATACGCTAATGCAAGTGCGGATACCTACATGCTTTTCACCCAAAGACCAGACTATGTTGAATGTAGACAATAGGCACTGCTGCGTAAGCATGCATAATCATTGTCGGGTAGTGTAGAACCCGGTAGCCGAAGATCGTCTTCATCGGATCCCGGTTTGCCCACATCTACACCGTGCCCTATCCTTAGTCACACCAGTATGTATCGATAAGTATGAGAACCGCCGTTGAGATGCGCGCTGTCTGAGAGCGATCGATGCACAAACTCTCCGCATTTATCATGGCCTCCCTTCCGGGTTCGTGATCTCCCCAAACATAGGCGCCGGTCTACGCACCTTCCTGTACTCGCAGCTGTTCGTCACCCCGCCATACCCCCGCGCCTCCTTCGCCAACCAGACCATCATCGTCACGGGCTCGAACACAGGCCTGGGCCTCGAGGCCGCACGTCACTTCTACCGTCTGGGCTGCGCGCGGGTGATCCTTGCGGTCCGCAACACGGCCAAAGGCGAGGCCGCCAAGGAGGACATCCTGCGCAGCAACATCACGCATCGTTCGGACGCGGGTGCGATCGAAGTCTGGTCGCTGGATTTGTCGAGCACCGCGTCCACAATAGCCTTCGCAGAAAGAGTAAAGCGTGAGCTAGATCGAGTCGACGTGTTGGTTGAGAATGCAGGGATCAACACCGGGGAATGGACGCTTTGTGAGGGCCATGAGCAGGCGGTCCAGATCAATGTGCTGAACACCTTTCTTTTGGCGCTGATGCTGCTCCCAAAGCTTCGGGCGACAAGGCGGCTCGCTGCGGCGGATGCTGTCTACCCGCACCTGGTGATTGTGAGTTCCGAAGCGCATCGGTTGACTGCCTTTCCGGAGATCAAGGCCCCGGATCTTTATGACGGGCTGAAGGTGAGGGAGCGGTTCAGTCAGCAGGCTAGGTATGTTACTGTCTTTTTAATGTGCTTGTGCTTGTACGATTAGAACCATAAGGTGGGTGGCTGATCATTATGACCTAAAGATATCAAGCCACGAAATTGATTGAAGTACTCTTTACGCGGGAGCTGGTGGCAAGACTGAGTACAAAGCAAGAAGACGATGCTGATGGCACCCCACCGGTGATTATCAACATAGTGAATCCGGGGCTCTGCGCCTCGGACCTTGCTCGAGCCGAGCCGCCTTCGCTGATCGCATGGATAGCCCGTCGAATCTTTGAGCGGACAACTGAAGTTGGAGCGAGGACATTGGTGCTCGCGGCCTCGGCTCCGAAGAGCTCCCATGGCGAGTTTCAAAGTGACGGGAACAATCAGAATGTTGAGGGTTGGATCTATACCGAGGGTGGGCGGAGGGTACAGAAGAAGGTCTTCGAGCAGACGCTTAAAGTCCTGGAAGAGCGCCGGCCGGGCATATCCCTAGAGGCCGGTCTTTGAGCAACAGGGGAATCAAGCATGGCTGGCCAAAGGAGCTTAATTGTTAGACTTATTTCAATATTGACTTGGACTATTTTGGAAGGAGAGATTAAGAATTATTCTGTGGGTAGCTGTCAGGATGAATATACTAATATCACAAATCACGGGTATGTTTTGCCCTCGTCACACACCCACTTGAACACCTCCTGAGTATGCTCCCACACCTTCTCCACCGCGCCCTGCTCTCTCGTCCTCTCAATCTTGATATTTCTAGGATACGCCTCCCCATCCCAATTCAACCAGTAAGACCCACCCCCCTTAACCCCATCACTACCAACAGCAACATCCCCATCCCCGGCCCCCTTGGCCTCCCCCACCAGCCGCGAAGGATACCTCGGACTCGTGGCTGCAAACAAATGGCGCTCGCCACTCTCGCCAATGGGCACCAAGAAAGGCGCCAACACCTTCCCCAAGACCGCTGTCAAGACCCTCCCCGCCGGCAGCTCGCGCATCGCCCCCGTCGCCACCCCGGACGGATACGCATGCACAAACGAAGTAGCAGGGTACCGCCGCGACAACTCCTCGAGGAAGAAATTCCCCATCAGGCCCGCATGATGCCCGCACTTCTTGAGCGTGAACGTCTCCTTGAGACTCAGATCCTTGAAGTCGAGCTCCCCCGCCCCGCCTGCCCGCACCGCCACCACCGGATCCAGCACCGAGACCACCCGCGACAGCCCACCGGAACCTTGCTGTTCCGCAGCAGCAGCAGCCGTCAGCAGCGGCATGAGCTGGGTCACAAAGCGCATCCGCGCGTAGTAATGCAGCACGAACTTCCGGTCGAGCCCCTCGGCGGTCTCGTCGCGGCCCTTCAGCGTCAGATACCCCGGGGTCATGAAGAGGAGGTTGAGGCGGGACTCCCGGGCGGCGATCTCGGCGCAGACGCGGTCGACATTCGTGAGAAGGGAGATGTCGGCTTGCAGGAAGGTGGGCTGCGCGGCCGGGTTGATGGCTTTCAGGTCGGCGATGGCGCGGTCGGCGGCCGGTTGGCTGCGGCCGATCAGGTAGATCTTGGGGGATGGCGTGTACCGTGCTAGAGTCTGGGCGGTGGAGAGGGAGATGCCGGAGGTGCCGCCTACTTTGTGGGTGTTAGTGTTGATGTATATTAAGGGGAGGATGGGTGCGAGAGGACGTGATTCCAGCGGGGATTTGTTTTGTATTGAGGGAAGGGATTCGGCGTACCAAATACTGCGACGAGATTGGGGATCGCGGATTTGAGGGTCGCATTGTGCGCTTGGATGGTTTGGAGGGTCACCATCGCTGCTTTTGGGACAATTGTTTCTTGTGGGATGTCAACGGATGGGTGATTGTATTGGTGGTGTCTTGGTGCGCCGGCGGTTCGTGGATTGGGTATCAGGCTAACGGCGATAAGCTTTGGTGTTGAGTTCGTTGAGATGTTAAGTTGGTAGGATGTTGGGGACGAGGCTTTAGGGGGTTCGAAAGAGATATCCGTTCAATTCTGATTCTTTGGTACAGGAGACAATAATAATCTAGCAGTGCGTGTGGTGTTTAAATCAGTGCCAGAAGCCTGGATTAATAACAGTAGAAACGGCGATAAGAGCAGTCTTGAGATCAGCGGGGGCTTAATCCCATCCGATCCCGCCAAGGCATAAGCCGAACACGGAAATCCACCTAATCTCCTAAACTCCTGCCAATAGGATCCCACCAAGATTGTGGCTGACGTTAGCCACCCTTCTGGCTGACATGAGCCACACTTTGCAAGCTCGACAGATCATCAACCACAATACAACTGTGTTTGAAGTTCCAGGCACCCGCATGGTAGTCCATGAACCTATCAAAGGATATTATCTCTAGCTAAGAGGCGGAGCAGACAGGTTCGGGTTCACCCGAACCATGCCTCGGGGTTGTATGCGGTGCCTACTAGGTAGCCTAAGCCCGAGAAGGTAGATAACGAAATGTTGGCCTTTCACGATCATGCGTAAGATAATTCGAGACGTGGACACGTCGCGGTCGACAAGTTCACATTCGACAAAGCTCCGTCACATCAACTATCCTCTGCGATCAGTAGTTGTGCTGAAAGACAGGTGATCCAAACATTCGACTCATGTATATCGGCAGTAACAATGGCCAGAGAAGATGGATAGGTTTTCTAGCTTGCGATTTTGATCAGTTGTTGCGCCAATCTAAATCAGAACGGGATATTTGATAGCCATGTCCATGTCCATGGTGATCCATCGCGGTGAGGAACTCCACTTCGTCTGGGACTCAAACTCGCGTCAGCAACAATATCAGTTGAACATGTGCATCTGTTTGAAATCCAGCTGGGTGTCGCTCTCTTTATACTTCGACAGACAGAAAGGAAAGGAATCGATGGTCACA